GGCTTGCGCAACCAACAAGCGGTACACAAACAGCAAGGTTCAGGCGGACATGGCGTCGCATGAGGAGGACCTGGCTGCTGTGCAGGCGCTCATGGTAAAATTGCGTACTCTCATCTGCCAAACTACGGTAAGCGCCAATGTGTATGTGTGGTGTGTCAATATGTCTCTAACACAATTTGTATACTTTTGTAATTGTTTTTACAAAATAGGTTGAAAACGCCACTTCGGCCTGTCATTCGCCAGGACACGCGCTGGAGCTCTACGTTCGAGATGGTACGGCGCTACCTCCAGCTCCTCGAGTTTCTTGACGCCGAAGACGACGACCTCATGGACCTGCTGCCGCCGCCGGCGATGAACAAGCGACTGCGGGCATTGTACCAGGAGCTGTGCGACATCGAGTCGGTCTCGAAGGCCCTTCAAGGCCACGACGTCGACCTGCTGGACGTTCGCGAGTGGTTCGACGAGCTGATCGCTGTCAAGCCACAATATGGGCGCTACATTGGTAAGTTTATAACTGTTGAATTTGTGTTCAATATTTTCACTAACAATTGTATAATGGTTTTTATTTTGCAGGGCCTCGGGCCAACATTGTGCACAACCCAGATTTTGAGGCTGGGTGTGTACGCGTTCTCCGCGGGAAGGCGCAGCGGCCGACGCGTGCTGAAAAGGCCGCTTTGCAGCCCTTCGAAGCTGCCAGACCGGACGACGCGGCCGCAAGTGAAGAGGAGGAGGATCCAGCCGCGTCGTTCGTGGAGCGTCTTCGGAAGCGCCGGTGGCTTGCACAGGACCGTGTCAAGTATGAGCAGCTGAAGAGCATCCCACCCACGTCGAACGTGGTGGAACGCTTCTTCAGCATTGCTCGGGTGACGTTTGGTCATCAACGACACGGCCTGCTGCCACGCACGCTTGAGACGATGTTATTTCTCCGCCAGAATCGGTCGTACTGGGATGCAACGACTGTGGACAATTTGAGCTAGATGATAAGCTAACTGGTGTCTTGTTAATAGACTTCATGCTTTTCATAATGGCATTATTTATTGTGGTACGTTGGGGGCAATGCCATAATGTACTGTTGTATTGGTAGGAGCGTCAGGGGATAATTTATTCAGCAACGCCCAACCTACTAAATGAAAATGCCATATTCGGAGGCCCTGGCTTGTAGATCTGCTGCAGCGCGACGAACATCTACGTGAAATGCTCCTGCTTGCGCTGCGAGGACACAAACAGCGCCAGCAAAAGGAACCCGCGAGCGCAATCCGAAAAGCCAACAACTATGGATGGATAGCCAACTTGGTTTAGCTTAAACGTAGCATCGACGTGCAGTAGCAGCGATCCAGCTTCACGGTCGGCTTGCGTGAGCAAGCGTCGTGACGTCACCCCCACAATGAACGGTTTGGTGCCCGAGCCAATACCAACAACAGGAAGGCCGGTAGCGTCCGAGTTTAAGGCGAAGGTGAAGCTCTCATGTTCGTCCATCGTGCTCACGTAGCCGGCGTCACGGATCAGATCGTGCGTTTCTTTCACGTAGTCGTTACAGCCGAGCTTCGTGCTCGCGTAGTGCTGACAAAAGCGCTGGATTTTGGACAGCGCTGGTAGCTCCTCAGCAGCCAGGTTAAACTTGCGCAGGATAGCATTTCGGATACGAACCGGCTTCAGTCCTTGGGCCGTCATCTCCCGCGCGACCACCTTCATTTCCGACGTGAGCCGTGGTTCGGGGGCAGTGCGCATCGCGGTGACATGCTTGCTTGTTTCGTAGATGTCGACGTGGTCAACCTTCTCACAGTGGAGCGTCTTAGCCCGCCAAGGGCACTTGGCGTAGGGAGCTTCCTCAGTGCAGGACCGGCAGCTACAGCGACGAAGCCGGTAGCGCATGTTATGCGGCTCGGCCACGGTGCACACGGTGCACGGAACTAACTCGCTCTTGGTAACCTTGGAAGGCTTGATCGTCTCCAGCAAGATGCTGGCGTCTTTGTTGGAGAAACCGATTGCGAGAGGAGTCCAGAGGAGAGCTCGTGGCATGGCGATGGGTAGTTGGACGGCAAGGTGCGGCGAGTACTTGTTTCTTAGGCTTTCGAAGTATGAAGGGCGCTTTAAGGTGCTGGTGGGATGGCTATCCTTCGTGCATATCGTACCTAGTTGGGTGCTGCTGTGTGGTGTTGAGTGGCCGTTGTATAGTTTGTATACACGTGTCAGGTTTTTAGGTATTGATGGTAGTTTGTCGGTAGACCCGGGGGAGATGAGAGTGATTACTGTTTCGATAGTCGAAAAGGTGTTTGGGTGAAAAAGGCCAGTGTGGCTTCATTGGGCTCATCTCATTTGAGTCTGAGTGGAGAGAGATAATGCCGTACCACCAACGTTCGTGTATGCGGTAAAACTCTCGACAGTGGTGGACACTACTTCCTGTGACGCAACAGTCTGAAGATCTAATCCACCGACCAAGAATGCTTCAGGCATGGACAGAGATTGTATTTGAAGGCAACCCTGCAGTTGACCAACAGAACCGGCCGACTGCGATCGGTTCGATGCAAGACAACGGGATGCCATTGCAATGTGCTACCCACCCACTCCGGATGCGCAAAAGCTATGGAGTTGGTTACATACAATAGTGAAGCAACTCGGATTCTTGGCCAGGTGCTGTCCACACCACAGTAAACTCGTGATTGGACGAGTCCGTAATCGTGAGCATTGGATGAGCGTACTGCTAACTAAGTTACGACAATCTCGATCTCGAAATGGTCTACTACATTTAACGAGTTCCAAATCTCAAGCTGCGCTGCTGTGCGCTGTTAGAAGACACACAGACTACAAGTTGCCTCTTACTGTCGACCTAGCTGTTGCTGTTGCGGATGTAGTACGGCTCGTCCTGGTACTCGGCGTCGCAGTACGGGAAGGCGGTGTCGTCCGTCGTCCGACGGAGTGAACAAGTTCTTGCCGGCGTGGATCATCACGTACAAGCCCGCGAGACCGCAGACGACGAGCACCACATTGGACGCAGCCTTGTCGTGGATCGGCATCTTCCTCCGGAAGACGCGCATGTAGATGAGCACCGGCATGATCATGCAGTGGGCCGTCGCACCCGTGAAGTCTTCGAGGTCAAGGAATTTGTCCTGCGCCGCCACAGCGACAATGACCATGATGACGATCATAGCAATACGCAGCGTGATGTAGCGCAGCTTGTTCTTGGCTCCCTGGTAGGGCTCACGCAGGTGCTCCTCGTGATCTCCTCAGGGCACTCGATAGCAGCGCGAAGGTGCGAGATACAGCCCTCAGATTTGCATGAAGATGTAGGACATGACGACAGCAGCACGACTGGAAGTGAAGCCAAGCGCAGTCGGACCCATCGGGTTGGAGGTGTCCACGATCGAGTAGAGCACGTTACCAGAGATCTGGCAGCCGCCTGCCAAGTACCCGGCCAACGCGATCGCGAAGAAGAAGGCGGAGATTAGGACAATGCTGATCATGAGCACGCGAGGCATGCGCTGTGGCTGGGAGTGCTCGCGCTGCAGGTCGGGGATGACGATAGCGGCCCCGTACGCCACTGCGAGGTTACCGAAGCAGGTCAAGACCTGGTGCACCGATACATCAGGCTTGGGGATCGACGGGTGGCCACGCATGTTCCACTGCAGAATGGCAACCGCGATGATATCGGCGATGGCGGTTACCATGCAGCCGGCAAACGCCATACCAGCGCTCTCCTTCAGCGTCGGGATCAAGCAGACTGGGATGACCATGAGCGCCATGAAGATGATCCAGAACGTCTGGCTGAAGCAGACCGGGAACAGCACGTCAAGCAGACTGCTACCGAGGATCAGGAAGGCAATGGGCACGAGCACGCACACGCCCATTTGCGAGACCACGGAGGAGAAGCGCCCCCACCTGCCCAGAGCCCACTCACCGAGGTCACCGTACGTCTTGACGGACGATGGAGCGGCGAGCATCGCTCGGGACAACTTGATGGCAGCGTACGTGTTGGCAAAGATCATGAAGCCCAGAGCGATGGTGGCGTACACGGGTCCTGCGCGAGCATAGTTGGAGGGCATGGCCAGGGAGCCGATGCCGAGGACGCAGCAGAAGACGTTGAAGGACGTCTTGGCTGACCCAAGGGTTCTTGGTGGTTGTCGCCATGGCTCGATCGTCGATTGCCACTTCAGTCTTGCACTTGTTCCAAGGAGGGCGAATTCGCGAATGAGCAATGAGACTGTGTTGCTCGACGTGGTGTGTGAGGCTGACTGTAAGACAGCTCCCTTGCATCGTCTGAGGAGCCCAAGTGGAGCGTGAGAGGGCAGTGATTACTGTTTTGGTAGTTGAAGAGGTGTTTGGAACTCTGCAGCCCAGCCGGCTCACAACGGCTGGGCTCACGGCTTGGTTGAGCCTGAACTTTGGGGCTTTGCGGCACGTACATTTCAATTCCCTTCAATATAGTACCCCCCAGAACATGTAAGGTCCTGCAAGAACGATCACTTCGCACTTCGTACGGTCTTGCGACTGCAAGTTGCAGTTTGCAACGTCTATAGTACAGAACGTAGAATGGATACGCACTAGATTTGCAAATGCATCGCAGCTCAAGGCAGAAGTCTCTCACGGTACATAAGTGTACCACCGACTCGGTTCCTGTGACGCGGCAGCCTGACCAACGTTATCACCGCGAGATTAATCGGCAGTGAGCAGCATCCCAGTGCTCCGCACGGAATGCAGTTGTTGGCATCCAGTTGTTCAACGTTGCGCTCCAGGCCTGTACATGTTGTAGGACTACCGGTAGCACGTGGTTCAACTGACGGGTGATCGGTGAGATACCGGCAACGAGACGAGTAAGGGATGCCATTACAAGGTGCTACCCATCCGCTCCGGATGTGGAGTGCATGTAGAGCTGCGCGTGCAGTTGGCGAGTTAAAAAACCCGTTATTTTACATAGTATATCGCTGCTGATACGATGAGCATTTCGGTCTACAAAAGCATCGAAATGCTTGTTGTGCGCGAGCAAAACTATGATAAAAAAGGTGTCGGGTATAGTTAAACTACTCGCGGCATGAGTGCAGTACCCTTCGGATGCCAAAACCGCGTGCCCAGAACGACCACGCAGTAATCGTGTGGTTTGATGAGCCAGGCAAGTGCTAACGTAATCACTGACGTTAGATGAACACTGGGCAGCATAACGACAATTTCGATGCTACAGTACAGGTATCGACAAAATTCAACCATGCAACTACATGTCCAGCGTAGTTGGACACAAGTTTTATCTCTGAGGGCGAAGAGCTTGTCTTCGGCATCCGCTGAGACTGAGGGAAATGCTGCAGCAGGCATCGTTTCGACGTGCGTGATTCCCTGCATCGTGGTAGGCATTGCGCAACATAAGTTCGGCTCAAGATCCGAGCTCATCAAGGAGTACATTGCGGGTCCACTGGTGTACCGTGCAGCCGATCCTGTCTGTCTGAATGTAGAGATCATTTGCGCAGTAAAGTTCAACAGGTGGTGGGAGCCGTTGGCTTTGCTCTCTTGCTCCAGGATTAGCCTCCTCATCGACTGCACTCGCATACTATTGAAGACCCTAGAGGGTTGCAATACAATGCTGTGCGCTTAACGTTTGACGTCCACTTGAGCAGGGGGCTCAAACACGCCAAAAGCATGTGCAGATGCACAGGTACAGAAAGGGCCGCTGTAGCGTCCTGTTTGGACGATTCTGACTCAATACGGTACAGTACCGCATTGCATTGATGCTAACAGCACCTAGCCAATGCATTATACTGGAAACACCCGAAGAATGAGGGGGTGGACAGCCCCCGACGGACTAATTGGACACGTAAGCGTAACCTGGCGCAACTTTCGTGCTACCCCAGCCAGAAGGATGTCGACCGAGCAGGTTCAACGGCAACTTTCAGCAAGACAGACTGAGACAGGAAATGCACGTCAACATCAACAGCCCCATGCACCAGCTTCAGAAAGTGAACTGCGGCACGCGCGATATTCATGGGTGTGGCCCCGCAGGGGCCACGCCCTTGAATCACGCGGGCCACAGTCATCACGGCAATTAGCACCGGTACCAGCACCAGTATTTTATTCCACAGGCGCTCCCAGCCAAGTCGAAGACGACCTAGTGAGGTAACTACATGTACAGGTCGTTGGTGCTGCCGAGACGGTCAAGGATACCTGCCGCGTCACACGTGAAGGAGGTGATGGGCATCGCCCATCACCTCGTAGACTAAAAGATCGGTGGTACGACACATTCCCATCAAACGCCGAAGTGCTATCAACGTACTGGAGCTAGCGCGCTTCGCTCCTTGGTCACAGTGGTGAATGGACTCTACGAGTGTGTATGTGTACAGCTCTCACGTGTTCCCAGTTATTGACGTGCTCCACTTGCAAATCTCTCGGGTAATCGTGTGCGAAAAGCGCTTACGCTTTGACCAATTTGACCAATTGGTGGAGGTGAGACGATGCGCGTCTATGCTTTCCCTAGCCTTGTGCCTCGGGCTTGCTTGCTTGCTCGACTGGAGACACACACCACAAGCGGTTTCCGGGATGGCGGTCGTCGATATGCATCTAAACATTTTCGCTGATGCATTCTGCGCGAAAAACGGCATGGCAAGGTCACCGCTACAGTCACGTTTAGTTGTCGCGCGTACCGCGTTTCAGTGTGCTCACTTTCCAATTCACCTCTTCTCGGACAAGGCGTTAGAAGCAGCAACCCCACACCACACCCTGCAAGCACTCGTCCACTTCACCATGGCTGCTCCCGGTTCCAAGTCGGCCCTCATCACGATGGACGATGCCAAGACGTCCTTCAACCTCTTCTGCTGCGTGCTCGGCATCGGATCGCTGGCCATGCCCTCCAACTACGCCCGCGCAGGACCCGTGTACGCCACCATCGCTCTCGCGTTCATGATGTTCGCCAACACATACGCCGCCATGAAGCTGTCCATGGCTATGCTGGCTGCTCCCCCTTCCGTCAAGACGTATGGCGACCTGGGCGAGTGGGCTCTGGGCAAGTGGGGCCGCTTCTGCACCGTCATCTCTCAGATGGGTGTGTGCGTGCTGGTGCCCATTGCCTTCCTGATCCTCGGTAGCAGTCTGCTTGACGTGCTGTTCCCGGACTGCTTCAGCCAGACGTTCTGGACCATCTTCATGGCGCTCATGGTCGTCCCTGTGTGTCTGATCCCAACGCTGAAGGAGAGCGCTGGTATGGCGTTTGCTGGCTGCATGGGCACTGCTATCGCCGACATCATCGCGGTGTCCATCCTGCAGTACAACATGCGCGGCCACCCGTCGATCCCCAAGCCCGATGTGTCGATGACCCAGGTTTTGACCTGCTTTGGCAACTTGGCTCTTGCTTACGGAGCTTCCATTGTGATTCCGGATCTCCAGCGCGAACACTCACAGCCTCAGCGTATGCCGCGTGTGGTGGTGGTGACCATGCTCATCATCTCGGCCTTCTTCTTCGCCATCGCGCTGGCCGGATACACGGCCGGTGGCTGCCAGATCTCGGGTAACATCTTGTACTCTATCGTGGACACGTCCAACCCGTTGGGCGTGGCTCCTCTGGGCTTCAGTGCCAACCGCGGCGCTGTCGTGATGGCCTATCTGTTCATGCAAGTCCATATCTCTATCGCCTTCTCGACGATGATGATGCCGGCCTTCTACATGGCCGAGCGGTTGGTGCTGGGCATGCACAAGACAGCGCGTATCGTCCGCTTCGACGCTGAGCAAGACCAGGAAGGCGTTGAGGACCTTGAGCTGCAGGACAAGCGGTCGTACGTGCAAGTTACGACGCCTAAGGATATGGCTGGCCGTCCCAGCATGGCTGAACTCGGCGAGGAGATTACGGAGGAGCAGCTCCGTGAGCCCTACAAGGGCGCCAAGAACACGCTGCGCTACATCACACTGCGTATCACCATTATCGTCCTTATGGTTATCGTGGCAGTCGCTGCCCAGGACAAGTTCCTCGACCTCGAAGACTTTACGGGCTCGACGGCCCACACGGTCAACTGCATGATCATGCCTGTGCTGATTTACGCGCGCGTGTTCTGGAAGAAGATGTCGACCCTCGACAAGGGCGCGTCGATTCTTGTGATGGTCATATGCGGCCTTGCAGGCTTCTACATGATGATCCACGCCGGCAAGCAGCTTTTCACGCCGTCGGAGGACGACACCGCCTTCCCCTACTGCGACGTGGAGTACCAGGACGAGCCATACTACGTCCACAACAGCACCAACTAGATTGGATACGTGTATACCATAGTTTTTTTAGGTAAACGACGCCGTAACGTCTAAAGAAAAGAATTTGACCCCCTGCAACTGCGCGAACAGCGCTAACATAGTTCATCGTTAGGCAGTAACGGTATCTTCAATTGGATGAAGCGTTCAATCCGGTTGGGTTGCAGTTGGGTGATCTGAAGCACGCCGACGCTAGCGTTCAACCACAACGCGCCAGCGCTCAACAACGCAGCGAGGCTGCCGGCGTGTTTAACAGCGAATCGCTGATCAGCTACGCTGTGTGCATCACCCGGCTAAGCGCCCATGTTCAAGCGTGTAACGCAGTAAAAAAGCTGCCGGTCGTTCACATTGCTTGCTCCGCGTCCATAGCCGGCGGCTCCGGAGCTCCAGAGGGTGCAGACCGCCGAAACTTCGTATGTCAAACTGCATTTCTGCCAACTTCAAGGCGGCGAGCAAACGCATCCCAAAGCGTCGCGAGCGTCCAATTCGTTGGTTTGTTCGTCTCTAGGGTGCTGCAATGCAGTTGCAGTCTGTATACTGCAGGCACTGCTCGTCTTCAGTGTTGAGCATCCCCCATGAGTCACCTGGGGGATGCTCCGGCGACTCGTCACAGCGGAATGATGGGCATCGTAGACGAGAATGATCCACATGTGACGGGGGTGTAACTGCCAAGATGGACACTCAGTTGTCTGCCAGACGTGGAAGGCTAGGTAAAACTACGCGGGAGCTCTCGAGAACGCGCCAACGCCGCTTCGGTCGTCTACGACCCTTAAAAAAAGTGCCGTAGCGGAAGAAGTCGAGCCATTCTATGCGAGTTTTGAGCCGACATTTCGGCTACCAAAGCGAGATTTGCTGCACTCGCTCTCCGCGGTAAGCCACTTTAATCCTTCGTTTGATTGGTGGCGGGGCTGGAAGCCCATCTATGTTTTCGCTAGTCATGTTGTTGTGCTGGTGAATTGCTTGCTGGACGGTGCAACGCAATGCAGAGGCCCGGGAGACCCGGTCGTCTAATCAGAGCGACGAGGATGGCATCCAAACACCAGAACGGTCTCAACAACCAAGAGTCGGAGAGAGCGACAGCGCGCCGTCCGTCCTCAACGGCTCGTCCTGCTCAAGATCAGTCACTTTGGAATTTGCCTTCACTCGGGGACCAAGCAGCAGCTCAAGTACGTCAGTCGCCTCAGTCTTCCGTCCTTCCAAGATGATCACGTTCAACTCCAAGTCCACATGGGTCACCATGGACGACGCCAAGGCCTCATTCAACCTCTTCTGCTGCGTCTGCGGTATCGGCTCGCTGGCCATGCCCTCCAACTACGCCCGTGCCGGACCTGTCTACGCCACCATCGCTCTGGGCTTCATGATCTTTGCCAACACGTACGCCGCCATGAAGCTGTCCAAGGCCATGCTGGCCGCTCCGTCGTCCGTCAAGACGTACGGTGATCTCGGCGAGTGGGCTCTGGGCAAGTGGGGCCGCTTCTTCACCGTCATCTCTCAGATGGGTGTGTGCGTGCTGGTGCCCATTGCCTTCCTGATCCTCGGTAGCAGTCTGCTTGACGTGCTGTTCCCGGACTGCTTCAGCCAGACGTTCTGGATCATCTTCATGGCGCTCCTGGTCGTCCCCATCTGCCTCATCCCGACTTTGAAGGAGAGCGCCGGCATGGCCTTCGCCGGCTGCATGGGCACCATCATCGCCGACGTGATCGCCGTGTCGCTGCTCCAGTACAACCTGCGCGGCCACCCGTCGATCCCCAAGCCGGACGTGTCACTCCACCAGGTCTTGACCTGCTTCGGTAACTTGGCTCTGGCATACGGCGCCTCGATCGTCATCCCCGACCTGCAGCGCGAGCACTCGCAGCCGCAGCGCATGCCGCGCGTCGTCATGGTCACGATGCTCATTATCTCGGCCTTCTTCTTCGCGGTGGCCATCGCGGGCTACACAGCCGGCGGCTGCCAGTTGTCGGGCAACATCCTGTACTCGATCGTGGACACGTCCAACCCGATGGGCCTGGCCCCTCTCGGCTTCAGCGCCAACCGCGGCGCTGTCGTCATGTCCTACCTGTTCATGCAGATGCACATCACCATGGCCTTCTCGACGCTCATGATGCCGCCCTTCTACATGGCCGAGCGCCTCATCCTGGGCATGCACCAGAACGCGCCCATCATCCGCTTCGACCCCGACTCGGACCCGGCCCACATCGACGAGGACTTCGAGCTGCAGGAGAAGCAGTCGTACGTCAAGGTGGCCACGCCCGTGGAGCTCAACAACCGCCAGGTGTCGACCTCGAGCCTGCTGGACAAGTCCGAGGGCCGCATCTCGCACCTCCGCGCGGCCATCGAGTTCCCCGAGGAGATCACGGAGGAGCAGCTCCGCGCGCCGTACCAGGGCGCCAAGAACAAGCTGCGCTACGTCACGCTGCGCCTGTGCATCCTGCTGGTCCTGGTTATCATCGCTGTGGCGGCGCAGGACAAGTTCCTCGACCTCGAGGACTTCACGGGTGCCACGGCCCACACGGTCAACTGCATGATCATGCCGCTGCTCATCTACCTGCGCATCTTCTGGCGGAAGATGTCGGTGCTGGACAAGGGCGTGTCCATGCTCGTCATGGTCATCTGCGGCTGCGCGGGCTTCTACGTCATGATCCACGCCGCCAAGGAGCTCTTCAGCCCCTCGGACGACGACACGCCGTTCCCCTACTGCGCCGCCGAGTACCAGGAGACGCCGTACTACATCCACAACAGCACCAACTAAAGAAACATCTCTATATCATAGTGTGGTAGGATAACACATCCTAACAAGTAAAGAAAGCCGAACCATGAGTGACTTAGACTCGATTCTTGGATTCGTAAAAAGTCTAGGCACGCTGCTTAGTCGACAATCGCAGTTGAAATGGACAGATCCAGGTGGTTGTACTGGATGCATCCCAGTACAGATACCGCTGACTAACTTGTTCACACAGTCAATCGATACACCTTCAAAATCGGTAATGAAGCCGTATCTCTTTTAGCAGGTAAAATCCAGTTTCGGTTTCCCGCCCAGAGGGATCTTTCACAATTCAAACAGAGCCCTGCAAAACACCTTCCCCCGCAGCCCACCATGACAAGCACAACCAAGCAAACCAAGGGCAAGTGGCTGACGATCGCGCAGAAATGGCAAGTTAGGAGCATGGGCGCCGTGGCATGGTGCGTACGCGTGAGTTAGTTCATGTATTCCCTGCTTAAGGCTAACCTGTACGTATCCATACTCTATGTCAGGCCCCGGACGGCGACATAGCTGCCGATGGAGCTCGCGATGTGCATTTAGAAGCTCCTCTCGAGATGGTCACTGTGAATGCAACACCCAGCCAAGCAAGCTCAGCCCAAGCTACTCCCACCACCGATCCGCCCCCCACTCACGCCACCAGAAGAAGCAGAAGCAGAGCGGATACGGCTTCGGGCAAGATGCGACAGCAGCAAGAAAACACGGTGCCGAAGTCTAGACGCTCCCCCCACGCTGCCAAACTGACGAGGATCGGCCCCGAAACGCTGAAGCGGACCCTGCAGACAGTCAATCCCGTGCCGACCAAGCTGAGCGTTGGGAGTCCCGCCTGGCCCGTCATCTGGCAGCTGACAACGAGGACGAAAGTGAAGGTGAAGCAGCGCTAGCGGAAGTATTGACGCAGCTTAAGGAAGAGGATGAAGATGAGTCTCCGGACAACAGTGACGATTCGGGCTACAACGACGATCGACGAACACCTGAGGGCGATGACGATGGAGACTCCTGTGACGGTATTGGACGCGCTAGTGACATCGATTCCGCTGCAAATAGTGTGCCGACACCGACGAAGTACCAAAACCCAAAGAGGCATCAAACACTGAAGGCGCACCAAACACCGAAGCACCAAAACCCGAAGGCGAACCAAAAGTCTGTCCAGTGCGAGGACGAAGAATCGGAAAGTCAAGGTGGTGAGGAAGATCTACCAGTCGTCGGTGGCTACTTGGAAGGATTTCCTATGTACTGGTCGTCGTGGAAAAGTTTCTACGAAGCTTTGGACGAGTTCCAAGAGGCTACGTACCAGCGCTTCCCGTCCCGCACAAGTACCTCGATTAAGTCCAGGAACAAGCAAATTGCTGCCGCGAAGAAAGAGGTCAAAAAGAAACAAAGTAAGCCGAAGACGAGAAAGATTCGCGCCCACCGACAGAGCACAGGTGGCACACTATTGCCAGAGTCATGGGAGAAATACAGCAGGACGTTCGTGTGCACTCATGGTATTCCGTACGAGAGTCGTGGAGAAGATTTGCGGCAGCATGACGCCGTCCGTTTTGTGGCGTGTACTGCTCGTGTCAACGCACGGGTTTGTAGTCGACCGAGTGGTGTTGGATTTCATATCGTTGTGAATGCAACGGGAACGCACAGCCATTCTCTCACCGAACACCAGTGGTATAACTACGCTGAGAACAGATGCGTCTTGGATCCGGAGCTACGCCGCGATGTGGCAGTCATGGGCAAGGCGGAGGCCAAGCCACGAGGGATATTAGCGTATCTTCGAGCCAAAACAGGTTGGTGTTTTTGGTGTGTATTCTGTATATTGCACGAAACACTAATAAATTTTGGTTTGGTGTTCTATAAAAGCAAGCGAACGATTCTACGAGGCTTGCCCAACATGATCCAGGACGCTAAGAAGTAGGACGATCGGATGCGGAGCGCGCTGTCTCCGTGCTGAACGAATTCGGCGAGATGAACACTGGAAATGTGGCGGAGTTCGTCATTGACAAGGATACCAACGTGGTGCAAGTGATAACGTTCCAGTCAGCGCGGCAGAAGCGCCTCTTTGCAGCCTTCCCCGAGGTTGTTCTGGTCGACTCGACTCATTACAGCAACGCGAACCGTTACAAGCTGTTTAGCTTCGTAGTCCACGACGTCTTCGGCCGGGTGGGTAAATGCTTTCAGGCTCTAACCAAAAATGTACTGAACATTTGTATAATTTTCTGTGTGGTTTATTTTCTTAGGGTCAATTCGAGCAACACGCATTGGTGCGGACGGAAGAGAAACCGAACTTGGGTCTTGCTGTCGCAGGATTCAAAACGCACAACCCTGAGTGGTCTAAGATCCGTGTTGTGATGTCGGATAAGGCACTGCATGAGAAGGAGGTGCTGTTGGAAGGATGGCCGAATGCGCGCCAGCTACTATGTCGTTGGCACGTCGAAACGTGGTTGAAGAAACAGTGCTCCAGACTGGGAGACGTCGGGCCTACAGAAACGAAGGAACTCAAGTCAATTATGAAAGGATTGGTGAATGCGGCATCTCTGGAGCACTATGACGACCTGAAGAAGGCTCTGCTCGAGACAGTCGGGAATAACGACGAAAACCTGCTCTACAAAAGTTTTATGAAGCACTGGGATACGACTGCTGACGAGTGGGTGATGTTCAAGCGTGGTGACGTCCCACACCTGATGAACAACACGAACAACCGTCTGGAATCGGAATGGGCCGCCTCAAATAGGTTATTTACGGTAGTTTCACTGTTGATGAGCTCCTCTCCATGCTGATAACAACGCAAGACTACTCTGAAGAACGCTACCTGGTTGACTTCCATCGTGTCAGCAGTCGCCCTCCCATTGCTGAAGATCCTGAGTTAACTGCAGTAGCCATGCAGCTCAGCAACTATGACTTCGAGATGGTGGCCCATCAGTACACATTGGCTGTCGGATCTCAGGCCTGTTTCGACATGGAGACGACACCAGATGGCAAGGCGAGAGTGACAAACCCAGCGACAGGAAATTCGCACGTTGTAGATGCTCGGGTGGAATTTTGGTTCAATTTTGGTGGTTTGATACATTTTCGGTGCTGTGACTAACGCTGGGTTTTGTTCTACCAACAGCTTGCTGCATGCGACTGTATATTCAAGCAGACCTGTTTGCTCCCGTGCCGCCATGTCATGTATGTCCGTGCCAAGCCTAACTACGAGACGGTAGTTTCGCCAATGGTTCGTTTCGCTACCCGTTGGATCGTCCAAAGTCCAGCTAACAACATCGAGGAGGGGCCTGTACTGACGGGGGGATTAAACCGCATCAACTGCCCACCCCGCCGTGCCCCACGAGCACTATCCAGCGACGCGAAGTACAGCCAAGGCAAGCAGATTACAGAGAAGATCATCGCTGTCCTCTCGATCCAGCCGTCTACCACACACAAAGTGGCAATGCAGTGGCTTACGGGTTTCTACGACGCGCTACATACTGGCAAACTGGAGGAGTTCACTGGGCAAGATCTGTGTGCAACAAGCGGCTTCAACGCGCTGTCTCAAGTCTCTTCGGTTGGTGGTGTGACAGCATCGCAGCTTTCTTTTGCTGAGATGAGCAGCGCGCCCGAAGACGAGTCGATGTGCGATGTGACAGCAGGGACAGACCTTGAAGAAACGGCGCCCGTCCAAGTAGCCGCACCACCGGAATCGACTAATCACCAGACGACTATCGCGCCGTCTCAGCATGAGAATACTATAGGTCGAAGTCCAGCGGATCCTATCACCTTAGCATCAACACCGAAGCGTAAGGGATTGACGCGGCGTGCGGAGAAGCACGAAGCGTCGACCGGAGAGCTGCAAGTTGCAACAAGATTCGGTTGCGCATCTCAGAAGGGAGAAAGGCGCGTGCCGTTAAGCTCTCGGACATGGCGATTCTTAAAGACCCGTACAGCAGACGCACCACCATGTCGTTCATCGAAAGGTTGAGCTTGCCATCCGTGGAAGTGGCTGGGAAGCTCGACGTTCGTAGCTTCAGCATTTGGGCAGCCCGTCCCAGTGATTAAGGCGATTCCTCAACTGGAGAAGATCGAGGAGGTCATAGAAGCAATCGAAAACAAGAGCAACAAGGCGCTGCTTGCTCGATGGGAGGACTATGGGTTTGCCACTTACGGGCAATTGACGCTCATGGCTCGAGTGATCATGGCACGAAACAAATTCAAGTTGTCGAAGATACGATGAAGTGGATTGACTCCTTGGCGTTTCGAGATGCCAGTATTGTGCCGCCGTTCAAAGACATGGATGACGTGACTAAGGTAAGATTTCCTTGCTCCGAAAGTATACGAAAAGTATACTAAAAACACCAAACTTACTGATGTGCTTTGTGTTTAGGTGGAACATAAGCAAGCAGTAGACGAGCTGAACCTGGGGCGGTGGTACGTTGGCCGAAATGAACAAAATGGCTGTGATTTCCTGGATTTTCGAGAGAAGCTCTGGCTGCACTCGGGGTCTATCATCGGTGGCCTTTTGGCACTCCAATCGGAGTATTTGGATGTTGCCATTGTCAACCCTCGCTTTTACGACTTTGATGATGCTGATCAGAAGATGCGCACAGCAAAAGGATATGGCGCTGCGAATGCCAGAGCCAAGTTCGTTATCAGCGTGATTAACTTGGGGCACCACTTTTTTGTGAATGCGGAGACGAAGATCTGCTACCTGTTTGACCCCATGCAGCTGACTAGCAATTTGTCCGCGCTGAAGGAAGCAGTTCTCACTGTGGTTGAGAAGATGCTGGACATGATCGACCAACTGGACTACCACGTCATTGCCCACTGCCAGCAGAGGGATGGTACGTCGTGTGGCATTTGGTGCTTGGTGGTGTTGGAACTACTACTGTTTGGTGCAACTCCTGAAACCTGGTCTGACTACTGGAAGGACTCTCTGTACGAAGTGGTAGGCTACTTGAGGTTGCGCTACCTACGGAAGGTGATTAGCTTGCAGCTTCAGCAGTCCCAGCAGGTTTAGTAGGCACCCTAACTTCAATACATATCTTTGGTACTTGATTTTTGTGCCAGACCAAGACACCAAAGTCATACCGAAACTAAGGGGCTTAGAGTTTTTCTGTTAGCGTTCGTGGTAGTTGAAAGTAGACGCCACTCCAAATTTTTGAATATTCATGTACCTTGTATTTTCCAATACTATAATTAAGTGCTCCTATAGGTACTCATCTGTCACAGATGTTGCTGTGAAAGAGAGCATCGGCTAGGATGAATGACCACTATAACCTATGCTGATACAACGCACAGGAATACGTAAATTACTGGCTCCCCGTAATATATTCTTGTAGACTAGTTTTTGTGTCCTGCAAAGACAAGCCTCGCACCCATTATTTGAAGCTATCATTTAATAACACTTTCTGTAGCAGCAACACGATCCGACTTAGACTCGATTCTTGGATACGTAAAAAGTCTAGGCACGCTGCTTAGTCGACAATCGCAGTTGAAATGGACAGGTCCAGGTGGTTGTACTGGATGCATCCCAGTACAGATACCGCTGACTAACTTGTTCACACAGTCAATCGATACACCTTCAAAATCGGTAATGAAGCCGTATCTCTTTTAGCAGGTAAAATCCAGTTTCGGTTTCCCGCCCAGAGGGATCTTTCACAATTCAAACAGAGCCCTGCAAAACACCTTCCCCCGCAGCCCACCATGACAAGCACAACCAAGCAAACCAAGGGCAAGTGGCTGACGATCGCGCAGAAATGGCAAGTTAGGAGCATGGGCGCTGCCGCATGGGCGCTGCCGCATGGGCGCTGCCGCCGCCATCGCTCGCCGATCTGGCTCGCTGGTCCCAGGCCAAGTTCAAGCTGTCCCGGCCGCCGTCTCGAACCACCATCGCGAATTCTGCGCGGCGCCTCTGCTGTCAAGTCGAAGCTGGACTCCGCATTCGGCTGAGTGAGCTCTTGATTTGAATGCACGTAAACTTCAAGGTCAACTATCTGTAATACCGTATATACTGAATACATATAATATATTGTAGGAACTAAAACCGTACCACTGTACAAGTTAGTCAGCGGTATCTGTAATGCTTCAGGTAGCTCGGCTTCGTCTCGACCTTCAATGACGTAGCCCACATCCACCGTTAGACGGGTCGAGTGCGAACGGCAAAGTGCCGTCACGTGCTTGGCGATCCTGTCCGAGCAGATATCCACCACCACTTCAAGGTAGGTTGGCGTCTGGTAGAACGTCGTCTTGAGCGCTCTGGCGATGATGAGAGGCTTCGCTCTGACGCTTTTCCTAACCAGCCACGGCCCGAGAAATGGCTACATTTTGTTGTCTATAAATTCACTTACTTGCGGAGCGTGATAGTCCCGCTGTAGCAACGATGCTGCTCTTCAGCAGAGACAAGCAGTGGGCGACAAGTCCGTAACCTAGGGGTACAACCGTTAGTACCCTCAGAGAGGATATCGTAACCTGAGTGATATATCGTCTTTTGCCCCCTAGCTCGCAAGTGGTTCTGAGCCCAAAGACTCGAAGGAGATTCTAGCTGCCGGCCAGTCTTCCCAGCCAGCAAGATGGAGGAGAAGAGATCAAACAAGAGGAGCTATGCCGTCCCTGTGCTCGACGACAAGAACAGCGACTTCAACGGTTGGTACAGCCGGATCAAGCTCAAGCTGGACGCCAAGGGCTTGTGGGAGGACGTCTGTGAGAAGCAGGAGGACGTACCGAAGAGCCAGACAAGTACAAGACGCACATGCAGCGGAGAAAGCAGGCGCGCTGGAAGATCGACAAGACGCTGTCGCCGGACCTCTCCAAGACAGTGGAGGAGGAAGCGACGCCTTTCGGTGTGCTCGAGCGCCTGCGCAAGATGTTTGTAGGTGCTACCAAGTTATCTCTCGTGCATCAGCTCCGTGCAGTCATGGTGATGAAGTATGATAAGGGTACGAACCTGCTAGTGTTCATCGAGGAGCTGAAACAGGGTTTCACGAAGCTCGAGAACATGGGTTTGCCGTTGCAAGATTCTCTTAAGCCCTACATCTTAGTGATGGTACTAAATGATACTTTTGAGAATATTTTGCGTCCGTATTTGGTGCATTCTTTAGCAGAGAGCACAGAGCTGGAGTTTGACAAGCTTGTGGAGCTGCTGGAGAGCTCATATTTGGAGGTCAAGAGGCAAGATCAACTACAAGGTCGTGGCTCTGAGGCAAAATCCCATAGTGAGTCAGCTTTATTGTCGAAGGGCAAACAGCGTGCCCCTGGTCGAGACAAGCGGACCGCTGATGATGATGATGGGAAGTGCCGTCACTGCCATATGCGTGGCCACTTCATCCGTGATTGCCCCATATATCGCGAGAAGCAGGAGCACGGGTGGAGACATCCTCTTCCATGCAGAACTAGGAAGGACTTTCACGATGATGACCGTGATCCTACTAGAAAGCGAGACTATTAGCGAGAAGGGGACCGAAAGCGGAACAGAGATGATAAAGAGAGTGACGGTCGACACTCACGTGGGGATAAAGCTAAGGTTCGCAAGCGTAGCGATGGTGATCGAGCCATGGTATCGAAAGCAGACAATGACTCGAGGTCCAGCTCGGAGTCAGCTATGATGTCTATTGACGCTAGATGCTACGGAGCGAAGACAGATCCCAATGAGTGGATTCTGGATTCAGCAGCCACACGTCGCATGACATATTCGAAGGATTCTCTAGTAAACTATTGCCCGATTTCTGCTGCTGTGGAGGTTGGTGGTAAGCATGAGCTCCATGTCATGGGCATTGGAGGTAAAAGAGTGGCCTTGAAGACAGACCATGGCACAAGACAAGTGTGGCTCCGGAACGTGTATTTTGTTCCGTCGATCCAGTTCAACCTGTTTTCGGTTCGCATGCAAGTTGCGATGCGTGGAGCGGATTACCTTGCTGTTCACTTTGATCATCCTGCATTTGCTACGGCGATTGATGAGAATAATGGTATTGCTCGCGTAAACCTCGCATGCTGACGCGCAAGTCCTTTAAGGACAGAGTCAGCAAGAACCCGAGGACTTGGAAAGTTGGAGAGAAGGCACATGCCGATACGTGGGGGCCGTATCAATCCCCCTCGTATTCTCGTTGCCGCTACTTCTGTGTGTTCGTTGATGAAGCCAGTCGCTTCGTGAGCGTCTTTGTTATGCATGAACGCAAGGAGATCTACCAGGTGTTCCGTGAGTATCGTGCCAATGTTGAGCGACAGAAAGAAGTGAAGATGAAGTGCCTTAATATGGATGGAGCGAAGGAGTATGAGAAGATGAAAAACATCTGCGAGAAACAGCTCGGGATGGAATGCTGAAGAAGACTCCTGAGCACAACGGTATTGCAGAGAGAATGATAAGGACGATCGCTGAGCGAGTGAGATGTGTGCTTTTTGAGGGCAATTTGCCAGAGGAGTTGTGGGCAGAGGCAGCAGTAACCAGTGCATACTGTGTGAACTTACTGCCAGCAAGAGCCAATGATTCCGATTCACCTTACCAGAGGTGGTTTGGCTACAGTCCACCGCTGAAGCATCTAAGCGTATTTGGGTGTTTGGCGTACGTCTTCCTTGAGGCCGATAAGCGCAAGAAGCTAGAGCGACGTGCGAGAAAATGGTGTTTGTGGGTTATCCGAGAGATCGCAGAGGGTACAAGCTACTCGACTGTGAGACCCTGAAACCTGTCTACAGCCACACTGTTGTCTTTGACGAGAGTCATTTTCCGGTGCTACCGACGATTGAGCAAGCAAAGAAGAATCGAGCTCTCGCTCGACAGCGAAAGAAGGAGCTGCAGGAGCAGCGAAGTGCAGGAGATTCTCTCGGTGAAAGTATTGATGACAATGAAGCTATCGCCCACCTCTACAATTTCGTGCTGCCTATGGAGAATAGTGATGAATCAACGGCTGCGAAAAATGTTCCTGGTGGTCAGTCCAGTGAAATCTGAGGCACCGTTGCAGAAGACGCAACACGGAGCAGCATGCATCAAGGTGTCGAAGCTCAAACCGACACCATGACAGATGCTAGCCAGCATATTCGGGATGGTGGCGAAGTAGACCGAGACAGTTTTGAGACCCCACGCCCGATCAGCGTGGATAGTAGAAACAGGGTCGATCCAAGGCAAGAGAAGCATCGGCAGGGGGCAAGTGTGCTCTCAAACCCTAGTGCTGAGGGTTAAGCAAGAGGTGGGGCTATTGAAAGTACTGCAGAGCAGAGCGTCGACAGCAGACCACCGCCAGCAAAGCGTGCAAGAACGACAAGTGCTGTCGGAGCGTAGCATGCAGATCATACAGTACACCAAGTTGATCGTGCAGTACAGCACAAAGTGCATGAAGAGCGGGCAACTGACCAAATTAACCTGGAGGAAAACAAAAAGGCAGCAGCTCGTCCAGAGGCGAGTAGCATTGAAGGCACGGTCAACAGTCGAAAGCGAGGATTAGTGGAAGTGAAGAACAGTGGCAATGAGAGTTCAAGTGACTGCATTATGACTTGAATTGAGCCGCGTTGGACAACCACCAGAAGCGGACGTCGAAGCAAGCCTCTGAGGTGGATGAGCGACTTCGTCCTGATGGCTAATCGTGCGAAGAGGAAGCACGGAAAGACTTTGTGAAGAGTGTTATGCAGAAGTGGCACTCAGAAGCCATCGTGATGTCCGTAAAAGCGGTTGAAGAGCCTGCTACATTGGCAGATGCCATGGAGACTGAGGAGTTCATGCAGTGGAAGAAGGCAGCAGGTACAGAGTACAATTCACTGCTGGAGAACCAGACTTGGGAGTTAGTCCCACGTACTCCAGGCATGAAGGTGTTGCAGAGCCGATGGGTGCTGAGAGTGAAGTATCGAGCAGACGGCTCCATTGAGCAGTACAAGGCTCGGCTAGTAATAAAGGGCTATTTGCAAGAGTACGGAGTCGATTATCTGGAAGTGTTTGCACCTGTGGTTCGCTTTGAATCTCTGCGGTTCCTGCTGGCTTACACTGCTATGATGGATTATGCAGTTGATCAAATGGATGTAACGACTGCTTTCCTGAATGGGCAGCTTGATGAAGTCATCTTTATGGAGCAACCAGAAGGATTTGTCGTTCCCGGCAAAGAGAACTTTGTTTGCAGACTCAAGCGATCACTCTACGGGCTGAAGCAAGCCCCGAGAGTGTGGTATCATCTGCTGCGAGAGTGGCTGGAGCAAAATGGCTTCACCATGTTGAAGTCAGCAGCATGTGTTGGAGTCAAGTTCATTGATGGAGCGCCTTGCTTTATCTCTATCTACATGGAAGACCTAATACTGTTTGCGCCCACCAAGACTATTGTGAATGACTTCAAAGAAATGCTTCGGTCGCGCTTCAAGATGAAGGACCTTGGTCCAATCCACTACATTCTAGGCTGGGAAATCGAAAGGGACAGAGCAAAGAGAGAGATCAGAATCTCACAACACAAGTACACGAGCCAAGTTCTAGAGAAATTTGGTATGAGTTCGTGTAATGGAGTTCGCATTCCTAGCAAGCCAGAGCTGCTGTTATCGAAAGAGCTGTGTGCTAGTGACCCAGATGAAGCTGAGCTCATGCGGGGCAAGCCGTATAGAGCTGTAGTTGGTTCACTAATGTATCTGATGCTCGGGACCAGACCCGATATTGCTTTCGCAGTGCGAGAGTGTAGCCAGTTCTTAGCAAATCCTGGCATCGCTCATTGGCGAGCCGTCAAGACTATCCTAAGATATCTTAAGCAGACAGAAGACTACGGTCTAGTGCTGGGTGGAACCAAGCATGTTGGTAGCCCCTTGCAGTTAAAGATGATTGCGTTTAGTGACGCAGATTTTGCAAGTCACCCCGATCGACACTCGATCGCTGGATACATGACGAGGCTTGGAGAGAGTGTAGTGTCGTGGTGCAGCCAAGCCGAAAAGACTGTGGCGTTGCACACCACTGAGGCAGAGTATATAGCGCTGAGTATGCTAGTGCAAGAGATCCTTCATCTTAGACAGACGAGCAAGGAATTGCTGAAGAAGCAGCCTGAGTGTAACGGGGTACAATCAAGTGTACCCATTACATGAAGAGTGACGGGTGTCACTCTCCCGAGTACATGGTACATGGTACCAGTAGCACCGCAAGCCAACCATTTGAGTTTGTGTGGGCTTTTGTATAGTTAACTTGTAGTTTGTATTAAGACCAAGTTAACCTCAACGAAAACACAGTCTTATAACCTACTCCTTTGTAGCAAACCGTTCCCTTTGAGGCCGGGAACTGGTGAACTGCTGTTCACCTGGATAGTAATATCCACACGCACTTCCTCTGTGCATTGTGCTGTGTGACCCCGTCACACTTGGTAGCACTCGTAGTCAATCCTACGCCTACGCGGGTAGATTGGTCTACCTGAATCCTCGGTGGCTCAGGACTGTGAGCCACGATGGACCGAAGTGGGTTTCCTCACTTGACTGACTCGCAGTTCGAGTCGGTGCGGAAGATGGCGGGCATCTTCGGAAAAGATGCCCTCCGGAGCTTGGCGGCGGCGACGCCAGCCGAGCAGGTCGAGCGGGTGAGCGCGTTTGACGAGTACGAACGCGGGCTCATCGCTCATGTGCAGGGAAACCTGCTGGCTCAGATGAGTGAGCCCAAACGGGTGCAGCCTAAGCCTCTGCGGCTAGCTGTACCTCCGTTCGAAGGGAAGAAAGGTGAGGACCTTTACTTCTGGATCCGGGAGACCTAGATTGCAATGAGCGCAGGTCTCATCTCGGCCGAGAACCTTCGAGTCGCCTTTGCGCTCTCCAATCTTGGCGGACGTGCCAGGACTTGGGTGTATACGCGCGAAGCGATGTCGCCTGGATGTTTCACATCCTGGGCTCAGCTGTGTGAGCAGCTAAGAGCCGCTTTCTCCCGGCAAACAACGAGTTCCGCCAGCGGTCGCGCTTCCTTGCCTGCAAACAAGGGAAGCGCGAGCTGTACGCGTACGTACAGGAGATGCGCACGTTGGCAGCCTCGCTGGTGGGGAACCCACTGTCGGAAGACGTCAAGATGACAGTCTTCGTGGACGGCCTGAAGGTCGGTCCTGCGCGCACGCAGTTGTTCCGCGTGCGCACCGCCACTATGGAGGAGGCGATCCAAGTCGCCCTCCAGGAGGAGTACAGTCACAAGCAGGCTGGTGCTCTGGTTGTTGTACAGCCTGTGGTCGCTGACAGCGAACCAGAACCCATGGATCTGAGTTCGGCTGAACAGTATTCTGTCCGCTGCTATGGTTGCGGCGGACTTGGACACTACCCATCGCCAGGGTCTGTGAAGAAGACCTCCCGAAGACCAGAGGGTCAAGGGGGCGCCGACGCCATGCACCGTCAGGTGCTCAAGGGGGACACAACCACCAGTAAGGACGAGGGCCTTGCTGGGGTTGACCCGAGTCTTTGTGATGGGTGTTCGGAAGGCGTACACCACAGAGTCCCGGGGTCCCTTGCGAGCACTGACGCTCGCATTGGTGAAGGACAACGGTGGGTTGTCGGTAGTACACGTGAGTGTACGGGGTTAATGGTATCCCTAGACATGATTGAGTCTGGGACGTCGCGCGGATGTTCGCACGTCGCCAGATGTGTCAGTTGGAATAACGACACAAGTGCCAAGACTCTGCGAGAGAGTCGAAGCACAAGGGCAGGTCTCATTGACTGAGGCTGGGCCGAAGAAGAACCTTGGGGTCCGCTGTGACCCTGGCTGCCGCGCTCGAGGGCGCTGACAGCAATGGAATCGCACATGGTCCCGGACATGGAACCGTACATGGTCCCGGACATCGTGCCGAAGTCGACCCTGGGCATGGAATCGTACATGCCCTCGGCTTGAGCAAGTATGACTTGGCCCTGAGTGCGCCGTGCAAGCTGCACAGGGTCTCGGTCGAGTAGCGCGACAACGCCTTGAGGCTAAGTCAGCCCTCTGTATCTGACAGAGCATTGGTGAGTCATGTTCCCACCTCTGGACAAACACAAGGGCGTCCGATGGGACCGCCAGGGCGCTGGATGCATCCGACAAGACGAAGAAGAAGGAAGGAGGCAACACTGACATGATGATCTCCATGAAGAAGGTGCAGTGTATCTGCAACCGAGGGCTGTTATGCCTGGCATGTGGAGCTGCCTCAACAAGCAACTCCAGTGCTGAGAGTCATTGCTCGGCATGAACATTGACAAGGGTGGTGTTCGATGACACCACCAGGTGGGTAACCAAGGACCACTAACTTACGGGTAACTTAGTTCCGTACAGAGCCTGTAATGCTGAGGAGGCCGCTCAAGGCACCTCCGGCGTGGGTAACCAAGTACCAGGGACGGTCGCCCAGACCTTAACCGAAGAGGAACGCGCTGCACGCGCTTCCTGTGTGGGTAACCAAGTACCACACACGGTCGCCCAGACCATAACTGAAGAGGAAGTCCCTGCAGGCATATCCAGTGTGGGTAACCCTGTTCCACACCAGGTCACTCAGACCTAAACTGATGAGGAAGGTGCACGATGCACTTCCTGTGTGGGTAACACGCGTCACTCAGACGGTAACTGATTGTGAAGCCGCATGATGCGCTTTCTATGTGGGTAACGTAGTTCCACATGATGCCGTAAGGCTCCGCATGAGCCGAAAAGAGTCACTCGAAGCGACTTCAGCGTGGGTAACTTAGTTCCACGCACGGTCAGTATGACCAAGACTAGTGATGAGGTCACTTGGGTCTCCTCGCGTGTGGCGGATGACCACACGGAGTTTAAGAGGCTCGTGACACCGTCACGATGTCATAGCTGCACGGTCCTCTTGAAGGCGCCGCGCGGCTCTGATTTTAAGCGGGGGAGGAGTGCGCGGAAGCACTTCCTTCCTCCAAGGGCTTGACAACCGGTCATCATGGATGACGTTCGACTGGGTGTCGACCAGCGCAGCTGTGGTCATGCGCACAGAAGCCGTGGCTTGGGTACACGACGTACCTGCGGCAATGCATGTTGCGTCGCCGCCGACTCGGCGAGCATGGTCGAGCACGACTGGAGTGTGTCTGCCGGAGGGCAACACCTCAATGACCACATGCAGGAGCATGCTCGGTCTGAAGGTAAAGGCCGCTGCGCGGCAGAGATCGTTGATACGGTCTGTCGCGGATAGCACTGTGCGGCGTTGGGACAACAAGTGTCCATGACTCGGTGCCGAGATGGCTGAGTCTGAGTATGCGTGCATGCTATGCAGCTACGCTGAATGCAGGACAAGCCGTACGCTGTCATGGGTGTCATTGTCCGAAGACGTGGGTAACAGAGTAACACGTCAAGTCACGCAGACTCAAACTGCATCCAGGCTGGTAGATGCCAAGCCCTGGTCGACGATGTTGACCCAGAGCCAAAGAAGGGTAGCTGCCCGTGCCACCGGAGTCTGCTGGCACGGTGACTCGGTGCTGCAGGGCGGCGCGAGGTTAGGCGGCCGGCTGGCGCCTGACCCGCCGGGGCTCAAATCGTAAGGGGGGGAGGGGATCGGAAGTGCCCTTCCTCCCGAGGTCTCTGGCATGAGACTTGCTTCGTCGTAGAAGCCAGTGTAGTGGCTGCATGGTGTAGCCACTCACGAAGTATTGCACGAAGGTGCTGGACCTGATGCATCGCTGCTCAGGTCCCATGGTCATGGTGACCGATGGCCAGCAACCTTGGCAGCGGCTACTGTCGCTGCTGGGCCGAAGATGGCGCGCGCATTCGCTGCTGGAAGGCTGCCTCTGTCAGGCAAAGACATGGCAGCCAGTCTGCGGCTTGGTCCGCGGACGATGGCATGTGTACATACGCAACACCATGCCACAGCGTGATGCTGTTGCAACACTGGACGCGGAACGTCTACCGGCCAGGTAGCCATCAGCACCACGCCAAAGCTCCAGGCTGTTGCTACGCTGGGCGCGGCACGTCTGCCGGCCAGGTAGCCATCAGTCCCGAGCATGGGTGTTAACCACGAGAGGAGAACCCGAACGTGTTGCCTTTGCAGGCATTCACAGTTGGCGCGGCACATGCCGCACCTGTAAGGCGCGAAGCGATACGCGTGCACGTGGCACATACTACCTGTGAGATAGTCGCGGTGCGTGACGCTCACTGTGCGCGTGGCACTTCGTGTACGCGATGTACCCGCAGTGCACGCGACAATTCTTGCGCACGTGGCACTTGAGGTGCACGAGGCACTTATGGCAGTCGTGGTACGTGTCATACACGCCATGCCTTTGGTGTATGAGGCGGTGCCCTCGTACACCTCGAGGACCTGAATGGACTGTGTGCCATGCGGTCTTGCGCGCACACCGACCTGGTGTTGATCGCTGCGACGCAGGATGCAATCGCCGGTGACGGAGGGCAATACACCCCACACCACGATGAAGTACCCTTGCGGTACCCTGGTGTCGAAGGAAGACACCTTAGCGTCGGCGCCGTGATGGCCGTGACGCGCTGCAGGGCTTTAGACAAGTCCACCGCGTTGCTCTATATGATGAGCGGGTTGCTGGAAGCAGCCATGGTCGCTCAAGCAAACACGACGTTGAAGCATGACGCTTCATGGCTGTGGTCAGCGCTTGACCATAGCCCATGGGTCGAGCCGACGTATTCGGCCGACCGGCACACCGTGCTGTGACGAGTGGGGCCCTGTCGGACCGCTGTCATGGCCGGAGATGAGCAGCACAATTCTTTCCATGGTTACGCTACGCGCTGACCGGAAAGGTGCTGTCCCTCGCGGGGGGGGGGCACTGCAGCACGAACGTGCCAGCGGGGCCCGAGGGAACGTGCCAGCGGGGCCCGAGGGCCATGCGACGCCAACTGCTGGTTGTCTACGAGGGACACCGCAAGTTTGGAGGCACATGAATCCCGTGCCGAGGCACTCTGCGCCTGCTAGCGCTGTGGATGCGGCCACTAAAGGCGTCGGCTTCGCGGCCAACATCGCCGACGGCAGGGGGGTTCCGCGCGGGGTGCCCGCTGCGGGCACAAGTCACTGTAGGCGTGACGATGAGGCGCGCCAGCCTTGCGGCGGCGGCGCCCGAGAATTCGACCTTTGGGTGTTCGGATTCTCTCGAAGCTGATTGGAGAATCAGATGTGATTCTCAGATAAGTGGGGGAGGATGTAACGGGGTACAATCAAGTGTACCCATTACATGAAGAGTGACGGGTGTCACTCTCCCGAGTACATGGTACATGGTACCAGTAGCACCGCAAGCCAACCATTTGAGTTTGTGTGGGCTTTTGTATAGTTAACTTGTAGTTTGTATTAAGACCAAGTTAACCTCAACGAAAACACAGTCAGTCTTATAACCTACTCCTTTGTAGCAAACCGTTCCCTTTGAGGCCGGGAACTGGTGAACTGCTGTTCACCTGGATAGTAATATCCACACGCACTTCCTCTGTGCATTGTGCTGTGTGACCCCGTCACACTGAGACTACTGATGTCTTTGTTGACAACGCGAGTGCGTTGAAGTTAGCCAAAACTCCTGAGTTTCACTCAAGAACCAAGCACATAGATATCAGACATCACTTCATCCGTGAGAAGCAAGACAGTCACGAGATTGAAGTGCAGAAGGTTGCTAGCGCAGACGACGTGGCAGACGTGTTCACGAAGCCGCTACCGCGAGTTGCATTTGAGAAGCACAGAGACGCTTTGCGCGTCATGCCAGTGCAGTGCAATGTACCTGCCTCCGAGAAGCATCAGGTGGGGCACTTGCGGAGAGCGTTATAGTCACGCTGTAGCAATAGAGCGCTTAAGCAGTTCAGAACGAAACGAAAATCTGATAAAAATATGAGAAAATATGATATTTTTTCGTCCTCTCGATTGCGTCTCGTTGTCTGAGGACGACAACTTTCGTAAGCGCTTGCTGTGACGAAACGGAATCAGAGGCGGAGCCAGTGTGAAATCTATAGTCTAGCCATAACGATGGACTCCAGCAGCGACAGCGACAGCGACGATGATGTACTCGCTTACCGCCAGGCGGCGAAGGAGATGCTGGACACATCACGCGTGAAGAGACTTCATAGAGACTGGGAGGCGGCATCCAGGCTGCGCCACAGCGCGTTGCTATTGCTATCGGAGGCTTCGCCACGATACTCTATACCCCGTGTCCGATTCGACATCAACAACGTCACGGACGACACCTGCGTGCTGTTCTACCACCCAACGCCATCTACGGCGTTTACAAGCTTCATTTCAGCTGCCGGACGTCATTCGCACGGGCGCGAGCTCTCGTACGTGTTGTAGCGGTCTCGAAGGCCTCCGCATCACCCAACACAGACTTTGCTACCCAACGCGATGGATGGAGATGTCAGGTATTTACGCCCGGGGGTCCAGCGCTCTAAGTAGTGTTTTCTACTTTGTGATCGATTTTATTAGCGAGAGATGCAGCAGGTTGCTCAAGGGGAATTTAGATTATGTGAGCTCTAAATTGCATGAGTTTAGCCAAGCTATCTACGATCAAGGCGCTGAGTTGGACCGTATTTGGGGGTTCGTGGACGGAACCGTTAGGGGCATTCGCAGGCCAGGAAGGGCTCGGGAGCAGCAAAGTGTGTACAGTGGTCACAAACGCAAGCATGCGCTCAAGTTCCAGACCGTCGTTACTCCAGACGGCATGATCTTCCACCTACACGGGCCGGCTGAAGGCCGAAGACACGACATCCTACTGCTGCGAGAGTCCGGACTGGAGGAACGAGTCCGCCGCGACGGGAGATTTCAAGGCTACTTTGTCTACGGGGACCAAGCGTACGGCCGTACCGATGTGTTTGTATCTCCTTTTAAAGGATCAAGTTTAACACCCGCTCAAGCTGCAATAAACGCCTCAATGTCGAAGGTCAGGACGTCCGTGGAATGGCCGTACGGCCAGGTTGTCAACTACTGGGCTGGTGTCGACTACAAGAGAAAAATGTGTTTGGGAGAAGTTCCTGTAGCAAAGCTGTACAAAACAGCAGTGGTTCTGACCAATTGTATCACTATTCTTCGTGGAGGGAACACTAACAGCAGATATTTTGGCGTGGAGCCTCCGTCGCTAGAAAGCTACTTCTCCGTTTAACATCACAATATACATGCAATTTAGATTCACTTGTTACTAATAGCTGAAGCTAATAGTTTTAAAATGAACTCGGTCTGAGCAGCTTGCTGCTGGATCTGCTCGCGTAGCAGCTCTTGCTGACGTTTTTTGCTGCTCGAGTTCTTCTCGACGAAGTTGCAGCTCTTCTCGGTGAAGTTCGACCTTTTCCGCTTCCAGTTTCCTACGCTCGATAGCTTCTTCAAGCTCCTGGTCAAGCAACGTGGAGAGATGACGGCGCTTAGGATGGCCTGAATCTTTGGTACCAGCGGCCAGCCTCTCGGAAACCCTGTTCATACAATTACATAAAAGCATTCAAAATTAGACGAAATACATTGCAGTCAACACAACATTACGAGACTACCTTTTTTCTGCTGCCTGCATGAGGAGTTGACCTGCAGTCTCCAGCTCCTGCGTTTTAGAGGTCGATTTTGTCTTTTTTTCCTGCTGTTCAGCCACGGCTGCGTTCTTGAGCTGCTGAAGTTGCTCAAGGATGTCATCGTTCTCTGTGTGCACCTCGCTGGTGCCGCTAGCGGCTTCGTTTCGCGCCTTCCGCACTGCATACTTCCGTAGGAGAAGGCTGGTGCGGTCCCTGCACGCTCGAAAGCTAAAGGCTTCTGACAGAGTAGCGTTTAGTCGGTTAGCCACTCCCTTCCACACACCTGTTACTGTTTTACGGTCAGCAGCAAATGGAGGCGTGGCGAGGACTTCAGCTAACAGAGCCTTGTCGCTGGTGGCGTTGAAGCGGGAGCGCTGCTCCGGCTCGTCAACTTCCTCGAGGCTCTTTTCCTCGGAGCTATCCTCAACATCGTCGGGCGCAGCAGCCTGTTGCTGCGACTCAGGGCCTTGCACTGGTGATAGGGGAGGGTCGTCTTGGCCAAGCTGAAGCGACGCAGTGGAGCCCAAGGTGAGTATCTCGCCGGAGCTGTCGCTCTCCATTGTCTCTGGTATGGCTGGCAAGGAGGGAGTTCTGAAGTGATTTGATTCGTTGCGTCTTAAGCGCCCTTTTGGAATTTCGGTACGAAATATTGGGACGAAGTTTTTTTTCGTCCTGAAAGACGTTTTGGTCCTGTAGCTTAAGCGCTCTAATGATGCTGCTATTCAGCAGAGACAAGTAGTGGGCAACAAGACCGTAACCTAGGGGTACAACCGTTAGTACCCTCAGCGAGAAAATCGTAACCTGAGTAATATATCGTCTTTTGCCCCCTAGCTCGCAAGTAGCGATGATGAGAGGCTTCGCTCCGACTCTTTTCCGAACCAGCCACGGCCCGAGAAATGGCTACATTTTGTTGTCTATAAATTCCCTTCAACTTCACTCAGAATGGCTACACTACATGTATGCTATTGCTGGACGTGTCCCTTCGTGGGCATCGCAGCTCAGCCCGCCTTCCTCCTCTCCGAGTCCTCACCGCCCCCCATGGCGGCACCTTTCAGCTCTCGTCGCGCAGGATCTGGCGCTCGGGGCGTGGGCGAGTCGCTCATCCTCAAGAGACGCCAGCGAGAAGATCACCTGGCCAGCTACGCCACGTCCGTCAAGGGCTTCTTGAGGGCCAACTCGCGCGCGGAATGGGAGGACTCGCTGTACGACAAAGGCGAGAAGAAGCAGGTGCGACGGGCGGTCGCTCAGCTCAAGAACCAGCATGAGTCGCAGCTCCACTCGAGACGACTGCGGTACGGACGACGCCGGGGTCGAACGGAGCTCTGGAAGCTGAGATCGAGCTCACCTAACTTTTGTTCTCTGCACACTCTAGGCTGGCGGAGCTGTATAATCGAGAGATGGAGGAGTGGGAAGACGCGTGTCTGGCCAATGTGGAGACCCCGGAAGATCGGAAACAGAAGTGCGTAGCGTCAAAAGGCTCCTGCGGACTGTAGAGTCGAAGTCTAAACCTTATTGGTGTAATTCAGTATGATTCGGCGCGCTTTGGAGCTGAAAGAGCGACGTGAAAGGGAGCGTCAGGCGATTGTGGAGGAGAAGCGAATGCAGCAGTATCGGTAGGTGAATTTCGGTTGCTCGAATGCTTTACTCCTTTGCTGATCACTGGCGTGTTGATGACAGTGAGTCGTGCGACGACTGCCGTGTGGAAGACTCGAACAAGATCCAGCAGCTTGTACTGCAAGATCGAGACAAGCAGCTTGAGGAGAGAATGCGGATAGCCGAGCAGGAGGTAAGTTCTGCGAGGCCTCTGCTGTTTGCTGTGTTTGAGCTGACTCATTTCTCGTGCCAGCGCGAGATCGAGATCATGATGGCTCAGCTGTGGGAGGAGGATCGGCTGAAGAAAGAGGAGCGCGACCGTCGAGATGTGGAAATGGCGTTGAAGCGCAACGAAGAGATGAAGAACATCTTGGACCTTCAGGTAGATCTAGTGCAGAAGCGGAAGGCTGAGACGGGGGAGCGCAAACGAAGAGAAGACTACGACCAGCTCAGCGAGTGGGAGCGCCTGAAGCAAGTCGAAGAGGATCTGGAGAAGAAGAACCGTGAGAAGGAGATCCTGGTACGTAGTTGATCTCTAGCATTGACTGAACGCAGCTAGCTCACAGGTTTTTGCATTTGAATTGTTGATGCAGCGAGCGTTGGACGTCAAGAAGTTTAACCAAGAGCGCGTGGAGGCGAATCGACTGGCTTCGGAGCGGGAGCGGCTGTATGACCAGCGCTTGCTGGAGCAGGCCCTAGCACTCGAAGCCGACACGCAGCGTCGAGAGAAGGAGCTGCAAGACAAGTTCCGACAGGATCAGCTCGAGTACCAGCGCATGCTCAAGCGGCAGATGGAGACCGAGGCCGAGGATTCGTCGTACCTGGACAAGCTCCGCAAGGACATGGAGGATGAAGTATGGGCTAAACGTGACGCGCAACACAACACCGAGGAAGCTGCTCGCCAAGAACTTCTGCGCCAAGTGCTCATTTCACGCAACAACCAGATCGAGACCAAGCGCAGCAACAAAATCCAGGCTAGGGAAGAGGACACAGCGTACATGAACCAGCTCAAGCGCGATGCAGAGGAGGCGCTGCAAAAAGAACTTCGCGAACAGGAAGAACGGCGGGAGGAGCTCAAGCGCACACAGTCCGACCTGTTGCGTCAGCAGGAAGAGAAGCGAATCGCAGAGGAGCAAAAGAAGCAGGCCGAGTTTCTGGAGCTCAAGCGCATGCAGCTGGCCGAGAAGCAGCACAAAGAGCGCGTCAAACAGTTCTCCAGCCACACTCCGCCCACCAACTACCGCCGAAAGACTGCACAATGGTACTTCGACGCATGATTCAATAGGACCTCGTAGTATCGGACGCAATCATTCCACTTGTCAGCAAATACATTTAGAAATGCATGACCCCCCGTTAATCACATCGAGACACACCTTACTGCTGCGTTGTCACAACCACAATTTGTGGTCCACAATCAAGTGGACAAGTCGGCAACTGCACCCTCCGGCTGCTCTTCGCTGTTGAGCCAGTCGAGCGAGCTGGTTGCGTTCTTGTCGGCCTCTCCGTCTAGTCGGATGAGCTTGTTGCACTCCTTCGACAGCTCGGCGAAGCCCAGGCGTCCGCGGCGTTGAATGAACTTGGCTACCTTGTCCATCTCCTCCTCCGTGATGTAGATGAATTTGCCACGGTCGTCCACGATGCCCGTAAGTCGGTTTGCAGCCTGCAGAGACTCGACCCGGTCGATAGCGTCCTGTGTAGCCAAGTTGAATTCTGAAGCCAAGTCCTCCAGCAGCACCACCTTGTGCGACTTGACGTAGTCCACGAACTCCTGCAACAGCTTCTGGCTCTCATCGCTGTCCTCCGCCAGCTTAGTGCCCTGCTCTTCGATCGTGAACATGTCCTTCCACTGGTCGAACTCTTCTTTTTCCTTGCGTTCCTTCTCCTCCTTCAGCTTCCGCTCCTGCTCCTCCAACGCCTCCTCGATCTTCGCTTCTTCTTCACGTTTCTTCAGATAGGCAGCTTCCTTCTCCTCTGCAATGCGCTGGCGCTCCTCGCGCTGCTGCTGGTCGAACTACACGATAATAAACAAATTATTAAAAAGTTATGTCATGGCTTCAAAAAAAAATGCTGACGTGTGTAGCCATCAAAGCCACTTACACGACGCAGCTCTTCCCGCTCTCGACGCTTGAGCTCCTTCTGCAGCTCCTTCTTGGTCATAGCTCGCCTGCACCATAGCAGAATCACAATAAACTTATTTATCCGACATAATTATGTCAATAGCAGAATTATGCCGCAATCCACGTACGGCTCGACGGGGCCTTCCTCGGCCTCCTCGCCCTCGTTCGGAGCCGGAGCGGCGGCTTCAGCGGGTGCAGCGACCTCCTGCTGCTCTGCATTGCGCTTCTTCTTGTCCTTGCGCTTGCGCAGCGCCGCTAAGCCGCCTCTGTCGCCGCCGCGGACGACCTCGGCCTGGTCCGGAGCTCGGCCATCTGTCACCTTCTATATGGGGGAGCATAATTAGGTTAGAGAGGGATCTGGAGGACGGGAGTTGGATGGGTGCAAAGAGCGAGGAACGCACCTTCGTGCCCGAGAAGAAGCCCGCGAAGAAGAGCACGAGCAGCACCGTGACGCCCAGGCCACCGAGCGAGACGGCCAGCAGCACGCCGTCCGACAGCATCGTGATTTGTGGTAAGTGAGCAGAAGCGGTATGTAAGTTTAGAGGTGCTGTGAAGATGCATACTTGGTGTACAACACACCGTTCGCACTTCAACCTCGCCAGCCAAGTCTGCTGGAGGCACGATTCTGGAACTGACTGCTCCGTTGGTCTGAAGCCATTCCTAATACTGTGGCCGTATCTACCACTTTTGTGAAGGTCATGCGTGTTACCATGACATTAGATTTGGTTGCTTGTACGTAGAAGCTCTTCACTGATTTTCCTTTAGCGATGGAAGTGCTTTCGTGCGAAGGCAGTCATCGTAGTGGCTACGGTAGTGGAGGTCTCACGGGTATTCCTTCCACCTAGCGCTATGCTGCAGGCGTTACCAATTGCTTGCCCAAAGATGGAGAAAAACTACAGGGAAAACGTCAAAAGGTGTATGAATTTGAAACGTTTTGTCAAAAGCGGTTAACATGTGTCAATAGGTGTATGTCGGGGTTATCAGTATCGACAGTAAGTGTATGAAAGGTAACTCGTGTCACAACGTGTATGAAAGCTCACACGCCAAAGTCACAACATGTATGCCAATGCAAATGAATGGCTAGGACTCCCATGAAAACGGGTTCAGGCTCAAACCCGGCAAAACTCGGAGTTCTGTGGGCTTTTGCATGTCTTACTGAGTCCGATTCACGGCTTTTAAGCCGTCAGTAGCGGGTATTCCGACTGAGGGACAGCAATGAGTGTCGACGCAGATGACATCAGCGACGACGGCGAATCAAGTGATGTCGAGACTCTAAGCATCGGGATGACATTCGAATCGGGCACAGATGCGCTGCATGCCGTTCAAGACTATGCGCTTGCTCACGGGAAGGCGGTCAAGGTCAAGCAACGCAGCGGAATGCATCGGTTGATTGGCTGTACTGCGGAAGGCTGTACGTTTTGAGTTAAAGTCTACCGGAAGCGGCGGGCTGATAAGACGTACGGGCCGTGGTACATATCGTCCATGAACACGGAGCATGTAAACTGTGTGTCCAGCGCCAACCCAACCAGGCGCCAGATTGCCGAGCTCCCAACTTTCGAAAGCGCGGTTAGAGCTGACTACACCATCTCAGCACCAGCGTTGGCAGAGCAGGTTCAGCACAGAGACGGCATTTCTCTTCAGAAGAAACGAAGAACTCTCTACCGAGCCCGCGAAGCTGTTCATGAACTTAGTTCGAAGGATCTTGCTCGATCGTACGAGAAAATACCCAGCTACCTGGCGCAATTTGCTGCACTGAATCCCGGAAGCGTCGCCGTGGCCGAACGAGACCAGCAAGGCCATTTCAAGCGAGCAATCATTGTTGTGAAGGTATTCGCCGACGCTGTTGCCGCACGCCAAACCGTTCTTGGCGTCGACTGTAGCCACTCCAAGTGTCCAGCACACGGCGGTATGCAAATGCACCTGGTTGGACGTGACGGGAACCTTCGGAACTTGACGATTGCGATTGGACTGGTGGAGGCAGAAGATGTGGAGAACTATACGTGGTTTTTCTCGATGTTGAAGCAGAATGGGTACGACTTCACGGGGGTTCCTATGTTCTGTGATCGCAGTAGAGCTCTAATATCAGTTGCTCTCGAGATGGGACTCAATCTCAAGTACTGCACCCTTCACATCATCCGGAATCTACTCGCTCGTTTTCGTAAGTTCACGCACGGGCACAAGAAGCTGATATGGGCCTTGCAAAGCGCGGAGACGGAAGACCTCTACTCAAGTCGCCTGGCGTGGATTGGCCTTGAGTTGGGCCCAGACGTCGAAACGTACCTGTCTGATATTCCAACCGTTCGTTGGTGCGTCCACGCAAACGTTGGAGTTGTGCCATTGTACGGATGGCGAACGTCGAACTTCGTGGAGAGTGTGTCTGGCTCTCAATTGGTCAAAGGAATGCGTCGTTTGCACCCGTACGGATTTTTGCAACCAATGTGTGGTAGCATCGTCGACGAATGTTTCCAGCGCTCCCAAAACGCTGATTCCTGGGGCGAGAAGAAGCTTGTGCTGACCCCTTCCGCCGAGAAGTTGCACTGTAAAGAAAGCTCGAAGATTGGGCAATACGCTGTTCAACAAGCCTCACCTGAAGTGTACTACGTGCACGCTACGGATGCTGCAGTACGTATCCGGCGCCGGGTGAACCTGCAGGATCGAACGTGCACGTGCGCTCGCATGGATCAGATGGGAATGCCTTGTCGACACCTCATCGCTGTTCTTGAAAGTTCTGAGATTTTCTCGATCGTAAAAACAGAATATTCAACATCCCCGCTGGCCAATCGCAGCCTGTCCTGAGTCCGCAGACGATTGCCGCAGTATTTGCCGTTCAGACAATTGTTTTGGGCGCAGAAAATGCTAGTTACAGCATTGGGGCATGTGTCGGGCCGACAAATGAACTCGCAACCGCACCAATCCATCGATCCCAAATCTGGAACAGCAATCTTGCATGGATTTTGTGTGTGCGTGATCTCCTCAACTTGCTCTGGCCAGGGAACAGCATCAGCTTCTGTATACAGGCGCGGTGTAACCGTATCAGGACTTGGCTCGGTACTTAGCGGTGATTTTGAATTTTCCTCTGGCTCTGATTCCATATCTTCCTCGTAGGCATCGTTGTCACCAAAATGATCCTGCACCTCGCCATCATCCGTTTTCTTCTTTCCCACCACCGCGCGGAGCGGTCCGTCCAAGGTCGACCGTATGTCTGCATCTTCTATTTTGTCCACTACACTGTCGTCCTCGTTGGGGCTGTTGTCGCTGTCATTACTATGCAAATAACTTCTGGGCTGGTAGGCGAGCGTGGAGCTTCATCCGCGACGGCTCTGGTATTTTCGACGAGCGCAGCATTCGATAGACGCCTCTCTTCAGCTCCAAACAATTCACCACTGCATGTCTCCGAGTCGCTAGAACTCAACAACCAAATAACCTCTGGTGGTAAAAGTGGTGAGCCACTCTGGTCAACATGACCCACACCAACGCTGTTTGTAAGCTCGTTTCGTGTATTCGTACCGATGGTACTAGCACTAAGCTCCATTTCTTGCTTGTCATCATCACTGGTGCCGTCCAAAACGATGACATGCAGAACCGGAGATCTAGCACAGGAGGTAGGAGGATCTGGACCATTACACCTATCGGCTCCGCGCGGTTCACTGTCCTCTTCTTCATTGGTCAGGTCGACCAAATCTGCCATGTCGCGAAGCGCCTCATCCTCATGGCGAGACTCCGCCACTGTCTTACCCACCCGCGATATAAATGGCCCTGAGTAGCATGCACCCTTGGAGAAGGTCTTGTACTTGCTCAAAGGCGCGACTTTTATCACGCCATAACGGTACGCTCGAGCCGAGTCACGCACAGGAGCTCGCTGTCGCATGTGGTGCCTTTTGCACGACTTCGCCTTGAAGTAGCCTGTCTTAGTAGTGCGCGCGGCGTGCGAACGACGCTCGTGCTGCGCGTACGTCGGTGGGGCTCGCTTCCCAGACACCCGAGTCATTGCCGCTCGTCTCTCAGTCGGATGATGTGGGAATGAGATGTGCTTTTAGTCCGAATGGTTCCTAACGGGTCGGGTCTCAGTGGTATTACACCGGGTTTCGACCCAGTTGCACTGGCTATCAACTAAACAAGTGTCAGTACGTGTATGTCGTTCAAACGTGACCAGGCAACCGTTGCTGGCGCTGTGAGGCACCGCTTCTGACAAACGTTTCCCCAACGCATACACCTTTTGACGTTTTCCCAAAACTAAATATCGTAGGTTTCTGGGGGTATGTAACCCAATCCCAATGAGCTCGAGAAACGACTAGAGCAGCTTGGATGCCATCGAGACCGAGACTACCTGCTGCGCATCATCTGAAATACGATCCACCCCACCAGGTTAGCGAACGTACCTACAACGTCCCTAATGATTATCCACCTAGACCCGAGCTGCGTCGGTCTTCGTCCTCGAGGTCGCACGTGTAACCATTTGTCCAGAGTGTATGTAGCCATTTCAGGATTGCGTCATCCGTGGAATTGTCGCGAATGTAGCCATTTCGACGGGTGACGCAATCCGCTGAAAATTTGTTGAAATTTTGCGTTGAAAAAATCTCGACAAGCAAAAAGTAAAAAGTCAAGGCGAAACCCATACAGTACACGAGACAGCTCTCCGTCCCAATTTGTTATGTGCAATGTAAAGCAATTTCTTGAAACAATAGCTGATTTTTGCAAAGGCATTTTTTACGGAACAGCCGTTGGCTCCCTCTCCTCAACGCTTTTTCCGGGACGGCGCAAAATGGCATTACCATGTCCAAGAGCTCACAACCGAGTTGACAGCATTCCGCTACGACCATGGCAACGCTGAACGTGCAGTTCAAGGGGCAGACACACTCCCTAACGCTCCCCAGTGGATCCCCAACTGTCAGCGACTTGCAGGAAGCGATTGAGCGCGCTACGGGCGTGCAGCAGGACGCGCAGCGGCTGTTCCAGAAGCGCCGACGCGTCGACTGCAGTGACGCCGCTCGAGCGCTGGCGGGCGTGTGCAACTGTAGCCAAGATGCTGCGCCGTTGATGCTGATGGCGGGCGCGTCGGCAGCGCAGATTGAGGACATGAAGAGCACGCAAAACGCGGTGCAGAAGGAGACGCGGATCCGGGAGAACCGACGCGTGGTCGACATCTCCAAGAGGAACCAAGGCCTGCAGGCGCGGGACGCAGTGGCCACGAGCTACCGCTTCCACGCTATCGAGCCGCTCCAGAATTTCGCCGACAAGCACAAAGCGCAAGAGATTCTGGAAAAGTTGGCGAACGATCGAGGCATTCTGGCGGTCATGGCGAAGCACAAGTACGCTTAAAGTGGCTGGTGGTGTTAGAGTGGAGGTTATTGACTGTAATATGCTTGGTGCTGTTAGGTGGAGTGTCGGTGTTTTGGCGGAGATGCCGCCTGATGGGAAGGTTGGCGTGGACCCGGTGTGTGTGCTTGGGTTGAACCAGAACAAGGGCCAGAAGATCTTGCTTCGGTTGCGCACAGATGACTTGCTGGGATTCCGCAAGTTCTTGAGGTGCGTGGCTGGTATATACTGCATTTTTTTTGCGATTAGACGCTCTAACGACAAGATATATTTGCATGACAGCATCAAGAAGGTGCTATTCCACGAGCTTTCACACAACGTAAGTTCAATCGTTAAATAATTCCTGCCTCTTAAGCGAGTAGATGTGCTAACATCAAGCGTTCGTTGGGTTTGTGTTACAGGTGCACTCGGAGCATGACTCAAAGTTCTACCAGCTGATGCGGCAAATTGAAAATGAGTGCAATGAGTTGGATTGGACCAGCTCCGGCGGCGCTGCAGTTGGAGGCTCTCAGGCAATGCCACACAATGAGAGTAACTCTGATAGTGGCAGCACAAGCGGCCATCGATTGGGTGGCGGGTCTGCCGGAACCAGCCGTCTCCTGAATCCTGCATCGCCTGCACCAATTGCCACACCAGCGCTTGCATCTACTACGAAGCCGGAGCCCCCGCACCCGCTACCGACCGCTAAAGAAGAGATGTCAACACCAATGATCGACCTATCAGAAGACGTTGACATGGAGGAAACTACCGCAGAATCTGCTCCATTACAGCCAGCCCAAGCTTCTCAACCTAACTCACTAAAGGTAAGATATCCTAACAACACTGTTAAAGCAGTGAAGCCGAACGAACTAACCATTGTGCTATCTGTATACGCAGAACACCAATGATCTCGAGAAAACCGTCGATGAAGAGGTGGCAACATTGGCAATGAGTGCGTTTCATGCTGTCAAGTTGTGCTACTGGTAGGTTTTCACCTTCTAACATTTTGCTCATTGCACTGGCAGGCGTCCGCGAGCGACGGATCCACGACGCCGTGCGGCATCTCCAGGCGCACAACAGCGCCGAGGCCATTGCAAGGGCCGTCTCCCTCCTCCACAAGATCGTGTCCAACATCATCGCCCACCCCGCCGACGCCAAGTTCCGCTCGATCCGGAAGGCCAACCGGCTGTTCGAGGGGCAAGTGGCCAAATTCCCAGAGTGCCTTGAGTTCCTGCTCGCTCTGGGCTTCGAGGACCAGACCGACAAGTTCGTGTTCGTGCGCGAGGACCCAGCACTGCTCTGGATCGGCCGCTCCACGCTGGAAGTGCTGCTGCCCGCTGCAGCATAAGCTACTCATAATGTAGCCATCTCCTATCCAACTGACTATTTCCAGCTCCTAAAACAGAATAAAAAATCTCGAAGGGGCGCGAGGACGAATCTTCAACGTCCACATACAAAAACCTTGTCAGCCGCTTTTTTCGGGATAGCCCGCGCCACTTGCGACCAGTCAGTCAGTCAATTAGCGAGTGGAGCCCATGGACATGGAGGTGCTGCGCTTCCCGCTGTCGTCTCCGAGCGCGCGCGCGCCCGCCAACGCCAACGTGTGGGAGCGGCTGCTGCAGACGTTCGCCGTGCCGGCGCCCACCGCCCACCGCTTCTTGGTGCGTCAGTCCGCTTAGATATAGAATTAGCTAAGTCATTCACTAACTCTTTGTGCGTTGCTGTTGTGCTTTGTAGCCAAAGCTGAAGGCCGGCCCGCTGCTGCTGGAGGTGGGGCAGCCGCCCGAGTGGAAGCCGTTCGAGGTGGTGCTGGCGGGCGCGTCCGCCGCCGATCTGGGGCTCTACTACTACCCGCACAAGGAGGACGCCACGCCCATGGGCTGCATCCGCCTGCAGAGCGCGCACATCGACAGCCTCGAGGAGGTGCTCATGGTCGTGGCCAAGGACAAGACGTGGTTCCTGTGCGCCGACCACGTGCGCGACGCCAGTGACTGGTGCGACGCCATCTGCTCCGCCATTGAGCGCGTGAGTAACCGCGACGGGGCCGCCACGCAGCACCAGCTGCAGGAGAGGCGACGGCGGCTCAACAGCAGCGCGTCGGCTGTCACGCTCTGCGAGCTGCAGTCGCGCGGCGCCAAGGCCAGGGTGGACGAGTTCCTCGAGGTCTTCGTGCGCTCGACCAGGGAGGACATGTGTCTACAGGCAGCCAAGGGGGCCCTGTCCTGGTCCTGTATGCGCAGCCTCGCGTGGAAAGTGTGGCTCGAGTGCATCCCTGCCGACGTGCCGTTCAGCCAGTGGGTCGTCATCGCCCGCGACAAGCGCCAACGCTACGAGAAGCTGCGCAAGAAGCAGAATTTGTTCCAGGACCTGCTCGTCGGCAAGCAGCGACCGGAGGATTTGTTGACCATGTGTGAGACCTCGACGGATAGCCTTCTGTACAGCATCTACAAGGACGTCCGTCGAACGCGCGGAGACATGCCCTACTTCCGCGACCCCGTTGTGCAGTGTCTGTTGATCCGTGTGCTCTATGTCTACTCCGCGACGCACTCCGAGATCTCGTACAACCAAGGCATGGGCGAGCTGTTGGCGACGCTGGTGTACCTGTTGCATATTGAGCAGTGGCCAACTGATGAGGACGATATCGAAGAGGTGATCGCTGGAGAACATGACGCGGAGCCTGATGGACGTCTCAGCGGATCGTACTTCTTCCCTGCAACTTCCCCCACGAAGGAGCAGGCAGAGGACACCAGCACGGAGGAGGAAGACACCTCGTACGTCTACGTGGAGAGCTTCATCAACATTCAGAACGACGACTCGTTCCTCGACCGCGATACTTTCCTTCGTTTAGCTCCGTTTGCCGGTGGGTCTGGAAGATACTACGAGTGCTGCCGTGACGCCGCAGGCGAAATTGTTCGCGAGCTGACAGCTTCCGAGTTCATTGAGCACGATGCCTATCTCTTGCTGGAGGAGATGATGCTGCGCATGGCAGGAACCTACTGTCCTCATGTCCGGATCCCACGCAGGAACTCGCGCTCGGAGAAGCCGCTGAGCTCGGCAGACCAACTCCCACCCTCGCCTCTTGACGACCAGATGAACCGCATCCACCATCATATTTTGAGTCGGTGCGATCCGCCAACTGCGAGGCATCTCGCGAAGCTCGGAGTGGAGCCGCAGATCTTCCTGCTGCGGTGGGTTCGTGTGCTGATGGCGCGCGAGTTCGAGACACCGCAGGTGTGGCAGATTTGGGATGCCATCTTCAGCCTCACGCCCAGCGACTTCTCCTTCATCAACCTCCTCTGCGTCGCTGTTGTCCGTGAGTTCCGCGAAGAGATTTTGGCAGCTGAGGATGCTACAAATGTGTTGCTTAGCTTACGCGACATCGCTGACCGCATCGAGCCCCCTCGCCTTGTGGACAATGCTCGCGAACTGTACGATGCGTTGCTCATTGCCGCGGCGGTGGAGGCGTCGATGGGGTCAGCCTGAAAGCGCTGTACCTAACTTAATCAAACCGGTTTGACGTTGTCGAATGTTGCTGTTATTCTCCAAACTGGTTGCCGAAGCTGGAGCTCAAAACGCTACATGTTGTACGTCAAGAAAGCAAGCGGCTTCTACATGTTCTCTATTTCTTCTTGCCGCCCTTCTTCAAGTTGGAATGCTTCTTGCCCAGAAGATTGCCGTGACGAGTCTTCGAGCGCGGCCGCGTAGGGAGGTTTCGCTTGGTGTTAGCCTGCGCAGCCTCGGCCTTGAGATCCACACGCGGCAAGTCCGTGCGCACTTCGATCGTGGTCTTCTTCTCCATCATCTTCTCGTGGTCCTTCTGCAAACACCAGCACCATAAGCTCCTCGTTAGCAGTAGATCCTCTACACCAAAAGGTTGCAGCTGTAGGAAACTTACGAAGTTGGTGCGGAAGGTGATCATTCGCTCCAGCTTCTCGCGGTTGTAGAACTTGCCCTTGGTGTCCACGAGGTAGAAGCCACGCGTGTTGGCCAGCTTCAGGATGATGTTGTTCTTGGTGTTGGGGTGCGCCGAAACGTACGATATCGGCACGTCAATCGGCGTTCCAAAGTCCTGAATCCAACACAAGGCAAATAAATTAATCGTGAGTGTCCACCACAACGGCACAGGAAATAAAAGTGTATCAGCATCTTACTCCGAAGAACTTGTGCGTCGTGAAACGAAGCTTGTCACCGCCCGCGACGACCGAAATACGCGCCACCGTTCGCTGCACACAACGAGTAAGAAATCTCACAATAATCGCAATCAACCTCTAACTCTTTGCGTACCCGCGCGTGGAAACCAATGAGACCGGCGAGAATAATGCTCATGCCGAAACCAATCGAGGAGCCAAAGTCGTCCGAGATGAACGAGAAGAACGTCGGCTCACCCAGCACAGGGTGCACTACAGCAATGAAAACCCAGCCATCAGATCAAACTTGCTCCACCTCAACCTCCATCAGACCTTCATGCACTCACTCTCCACCAGACTCTGCTCGTATCCCTTCAGCCACGACCAAAACGCGATCTGCACAGCAACAACACCTCCAGTCAGCTCTGCTTTCACCTACCGACACCATCAAACCCTCCGTAACTTACGTGGGCGAGCGATCCCGCCGACATGAGCCCAAAGTAGCCCTGTGCCACACAAAGTACAACAGTAATTAGCGCCTCCTTCCTCCTCTTCCTCGTCTCTGAAGACATCGCATCCCCACCTTGCGCGGGTACTCGTAGAGCAGGTCGCCGCCCTGCTGACCCTGGTGCTCCGGGTGGCTCTCCAGCACCTTGTCCCATAGTTTAGAGTTGGTCAGCTCTTCCTCTTCCTCCTCCTTCTTAGGCTTCTGCTCCGTCGGAGCGCTAGTGACACATCGGAAGCGACGGATTTAGGACGATTCTAAGCGTCAGAGAGCGGCAATTGCACGTACGTGGAGCTGAAGAAGCGGAGAACTTGGGCGGAGTCGCTGCGCGAGCCGCGGGCGAGCAGCTGGAGCCGCACGGACGGACGACGCAGCACACTGAGCAGCATGACGCACTGACTAATGGAGCTGCTCGAAGATGGGCCACAGGTTTGAAAGAGTGGTATGATCAATCTGGAACGGTCAGAAGGGCGGTCTAATTGTATATAGAGGAGCATAGTTTTTTCGTGTTTAAATTAGGACGTCTAGATTTAGAGACTGCTTTAGTGCAATCACTAGCGCTCTGGGCACCCGCTACGCGGGCGCTTTGGCCACGGGTTGCTGGAATAGCATAGCTTAAAAGTATATGCATCATTTTGATTTCCATAACAATAATGTGCGGATACAGTTGACACATATTCGTTGCTATAACTTCGTGTTTTAGTAGCAAATGAGTAGGAATACATTTGGTAATTTGCTTAATAGGAAAATGTATTCCTACTCATTTGCAAATGTCGCTCACGATGCAAAGTTGAGTACCTAAACATCGAGTGAGCTGAATATCGTTGCCGTTGTATCATTGATCACCCGTTTCTGCGAGGCGAGCTACATTGTCACGGCAGTGTAGTGACCTGCGTGTTTACTTACTTTGAAGTAATAACTAAAGTATTGAAACTATGATTGGGTGTGGTTTATACTGCGTTGCAAACTGGTAGCTGTCGTCGATACCGTACTCTAGTGTTGTTACTGAAAGACTGCAACTTTGCCAGCATGAATTTACGCGCTACATGTAGTAATGCTGGTTTGCGCGATAACAGTTCAAATAGACATAGCAAATTTAGCTCAACTCAATACGGATCGGTAGCGACTGTGCGTCTTCGATGGTTAGGTTGTTGTGTATCGTGCAAATGAAGCGTTTGGCGGGACCCCCGCTTGCCCCGCCAGCTGTCATAAGCAACCGGTATATTCGGTAAATTGAAGTGCTGCATGTTTGTATCGATGCTATGTATCTCTGGTAGTATCGACTATCGAGTTGCACAGAGCTGCAGAGTTCGCAACTTTGCGTGCCCGACGCCGCTGCTGCTGTAGTAGGCGCTAGCTTCTAGCAGTCAGCTTGAATCTTCTTGGTCGTATCTTCACCAAGACGCTTAACAGAACGAACGAATGCAGCAGCTTTGTGGTCACGACGATTTCAATACTTAAGTATCACGTTTGCGCCGAGGAACCTCTGCACCTCCAGTTCGCCTAGACTTCATACTGGATGCTAGATGCTTGAAGGTGAAATGAGCTCTAGCTAAACTCGAAAAATTATCACAAAATTATCACAACATATATATTATCACTGCCCCGCCAATAAAAATAAATAATTCCGGTCGCCATCGGTACATGATGCGGGACCCCGGGGTCCGGCCAATAGCTTCATATATATATTGCTCTAACGACAATGTCTACACTAAGCTGCATTATGTGCATGCTGCAGTAGTTTACGGTACACGTATCTAGGGTAGCAGCGCGCATTTTTGAAAGCTGCATGCGTTGCCAGTGTCACTACTATTCTACGCTTTGCCTACTCTGCATCTTTCATCTGGATTTATAACGCGTTATTGCTCTTGGTGCATGGCGTACAGTACTTAGTAACAGTAATTCGAAATTGCGCACGACCATGCTGTTGTGCACTGCGCGCAATTCGAGCAGCATTTTCTAAAATTGTTTTGTTGAAGCGCGAGAGTTAGGGCACCTGGGATATGATTGATTTTGATTTGAGTTGGAGTGCATTGTTGTCACTTGGCTGATGCGACTATCGTTCCTATGGAAGCGAGTGTCGGACTGCAGCAAGATCCTGTCATTAATCAGCTTAATAAAAAACATAAAAAGTCGTAAGTATGACTCCTCGATGCGCGCGCTGGTGATGCACCTGGGTTTACTTAATTCGACCAACTACTACGTAGTAGTAACTTAAGTTGAGCACGCGACTACTCAAATTAGTGTATTATAATGCTTGATTCCTGCAAATGAATACAGCTCGATTGCCAGCTTCACCACGCCACGTGCTGTTTATCAGTTAATCTATGTGCAGCGTTAGGTGGTCTAAATGCGTCGTTCGCACACATTCTTGGTGTATTAGAAGATGAACGCCTAATAAGCACCAGTCTACCCCTAATTCCGTACTGTATTCCCTCGACTGCCCTGAAGGTACCAGTTATCCCAACAGGCGGAACTCCCGAAACCGTAAAGTAGTTTATTTATGTATGGACATGTAGTACTCACTGTTGTGTGTGTCCGCTGCCGCTGCAGTTCGCCACTCGCTTCTCTACGCCAGGCGCCCTCCGCTCGCTGCCTCGGTCCGGCCGTCCGCCGCGCGCCAACTTTCAAATGGGGGATGTGATAATCACGCCCGCTAAAGTCCGACCGGCTCCGTGTAAGTCCGAATTTTAGCGTGATTGTGGCTATTTTTGTAATTTCGTAGATAGTTAAAAAGCCAGTTCCAGTCGACTTGATGAGTGAATAATGTATGTAATAAGGCTGCGGTAGCGTAGTCTAATTGACAGGTCTAGGCTGTAGGGCCGGAAACCGTGACGCGATGACCGACAGACAGGATACTCGGTTATAGGACGGAGAATTTCCAGATCCACGGTCTCAGGATATGAGGCGACGACCTCGCGAAGTTCCGGTGGCCAAGCCCTCAGCCGTGCAGAGCTACGTGTAAGACATCGAGAACCTCACAGCTTAAAGTTGCATCTTTAACCAGGAGATACAAAATCTTATCGGTATTGGCGACGAAAATGGCAGGCCGCAGGTGTTGTTGCGTCGCGAGGAGCGCGAAGGTCCGCGTCGCTGGCTGCCGAATGAGCGCAAGCCTGGAGCGTCCAAGCACTCGGCGCTGAACCAGCAGGCCGACGTCATGAAGATCAAGTGCGGAAGTTCTGGGCATGACAGTGCTATGCTTTGCCAGGTTGATATTCTCATGGACGTTCGATCGACAGGGTCGATACGAACGAGTACTGCGCCGAGGCGGAAGTGGACAAGCTCAACGCGCTGGAAGAAGAGGTGGGTGCTAGGAATTCCAGGCTCGACAGTGTCGGTATTGACGCCGCAGCTGTGTCCAGGTTGCGATCCTTGAAAGCGAGGTCGGTGCTTTTCTCAAGACTGCGGAGTTCCTTACGATTTTGCTCGTGGAAATGGACACTGAGTCACTGTTTGCTGCTTGTCGTCGTGTAGATGGAGAAGTTCGTCGAGGAGTTTTACGTGGCGGCAGCCATGTTTTCCACCCAAGCAACGGCTCAGAAGGCGTACGTAGCAACGTATCCAGCACTCCAAAGAAGCTTCACATCTTAGACTCACCAACACCTCATCGTCTTCTCAGCCTTCTCGCCCGCCTGCAACGTGCAACCAGCACGCCTCGAGAACCATGAACAGCGTAGCAGCCTCGTGACCTTCTTGTTTAAAATATTAGAGCACGCGGTGTTTTCCAGGCAGCCTGGCCCACCTTAAATTAACCCCGTGCTAATCGAGCTGCAAGTGAGTTGCGTCGGCCCGCATCGTACATCCTTTCCCTCTTCCTTCTCCTTCTTCTTCTTCTTCCTCTATCCGAGTGTCGATTCTACATTTTACATTGTTCTCCTTCCGAGCACCCACTCCGTATCTCTCTCTCTTCTTTCCCAACTAGAAAATATCTGGCGGCGGTGGCGGCAAGAAGGACCCTTGGCCTCGCGGCTGGCTCTGCTGCACCACGTACTGCAGCCGGTAGTTGGTGATGCGCAGCTGCTTGACCTGCGACTGCAGCTCCTCGATCACGAGCTGCTGCGTCTCCGCCTGGTGGCGGTACGTGTCCACCTCGCCCAGCGCCGCCTTGAGCAGGCGGTTCTGGTGCTCGGCGGCCTCGAGCCGCGTCTGCATCTCGCGCATCTCGCTCTGCCACTGCTGCAGCTGCCGCTCCTGCTCGTGCACGCGCCGCTCGTTCTCCTCATGCAGCCGCCGCAGCTCCAGTTGCAGCTGCGTCGTGTGCGCGTGCGCGTGCTCGGCGTGCGCCTGGGACGCGCCGCGTTCCTGCAGCTTGAGCGCGTTCAGGCGCTCGATGGTGGCGTCGAAGTCCATGGGAAGGCAGTCAAGCGTCGCTGCTGTGCCGTGGTCGCCTTGCTTCTTTGCAGTGCAGTGCGCGCTTCTGTATGTACTGGACCCACCTCAAGGTCATGTCTCTGACTACATGTACAGTAAGAGTTGACGTACTTAGACAAGTGTATCGAAAACACGAAATCATACGTAATAATGTGTGTGGAACACGATGTCTTTCTTTCGACTAACTTGATGATGGCTACACGCGACCAAGCGAAGCGACTTTGCTGGAAGATCACGTCCAATTTATACTGTGGTTATCGTACATTTGTGCGAGTGGGTTTTGTTTCTCTAGCTAGCGGGTTGGTGTAGGTAGGTAGTGTACATGGTCAGATGTCGTCGTAACTGCGAGGCTGTGCGGCGGTGAGCGCGGTGGTGAACGTTTCGGGCCGCAGCAGGCCGATCTGCACGACCTCCTCGTCGTCGTCCGAGGACGAGACGGTGATGCACGTGTCGTCGCTGTCCTCGCTGGAGCGGTGCAGGTGCTTGACCCGCTGCATCTCGCTGTGGAGCTGCTTCTTGGTGTACACCACGAGCCACCACATGCCCAGCACCGTGAACACGGTGCCCCCTACTCCGATCACCATGCGATGCCGGAACGACGCCTCCCTGAGCTCCACGGCGTCGTCGTCGCTGCCTCCAACTAAGTTCTTGCTGTGGTGCCCGAGGTACGCCCACAGAACGGCGTAGGGCAGACCCCCCACCGCGGAGGAGACTGCGAACCTGTAGGTCGAGATGCCCGCGACCGCCAGTCCGTAGCACTTGACGAGGTGCGGCACGTTAGCCACCTGGATCAGCAGCAGCGGCTTCCAACTGGAGCTCTGCAGCACCGTGGCCAGCGCCGCGAACGCCGGGAAGTTGCTCTGCATGTACGAGTTGATCCGGTCCTTGCCCAAGTGTTTGGCCGCCAGGAAGGCGATCAACTGGCCGATGGTCTTGCCCACCACGCACAGCAGCGTGCCCGTGACGATGCCGAACATGGAGCCCGCGAGGATCTCGAAGCCTGGGGACGGGATGCAGAGTGGGATGCCCACGGCCAGGATGAGCGGCAGCAGCATGGCCCCCATGGTCGGGTTGGCCTGGATCCAGGCCATAGTGCTGGCAATGTAGAGCTTCACGGGCACCATAGTGAGCAGCACGTAGGTCGCTGCGCAGAGGAGCGTCGTCCACGTCGCCGTCTTGAGCCATCGCCTCCGGGTCTCGGACATTCGCGTGGGGCACCAGCACCCCATGGTTTTCGTCGACAGGAAGAAGGGTAGGGTGGTCTGTGGTTGGTCGACTAAAGCTGGGGAATAAGGCTGCGCTAGCTCCAGGATAAGACGGTGGGCCCCCCGAAGCGCGAATGCTAAAGCTGGACCGCAGACCTGGTGATGGCTTGGAGACCGGTTCCGAAGTGCTTGGTGCTCGACAGTTGAGCTCGCCGCGACTGTCGTGTGACACGCTATGAATAGGAGGGTTTCTGCACAACGTGTGCAAAGGCAGCGGGAGACCTAAAAACCATCTCATACGGGGTCTCTATATCTACGTACAACGATTTGCATTCACTTTAGTTATCCTATACTTAATTGGTAATCCCATACTAATATGCCTGTTTATAGCGATTAGTTGGTTCTACGGCGTAGTCTATAATATTCATAATTGCAGGTGTATTATTTGTTTGCCGCGCTACGCTACAAACAGGGGATTACGCATGGACCGCACGAGGAACTGCCAAAACGCGCCCCCTCTTGCCGTAGACTTGGAGAGGGCACAGCTCAGCAGCTATCCATGCATCGTCGAAAATCCAGGACTATTGAAGGATCGGCCGAGGTGCAGCAGATATCAGCGTGTGCTACAGGGCACGGGACAAGGCAGCGAGGCCGGCAAGAGGATTGCTCCCGCAATGGTTTTGTCATAAGGAGAGAAATATGGACCCGTCGTTAATAGCGTTCTTCCTCAATAAGACGAGAATAGATGCTGGTAAAGGAGAAGGAGAAGCTCTGTCCCACTCAGCACTCCCACAACGAGGCAATTTCGGATGCAAAATGCTAAGCCAGTCTCTGTGGATCGCTCGTCGCCACTGCACTGCTGTAGCGTTTGACGCGTGCATGCAATGCTAAGCAGACGCCCACTTCAGGCTTTGGCAAAATACTCTATTTTTCACCTCGCTTAAAATACGCACGTTTTGGAAATACAAGTCGAAATAGTACTCACACTGTAGTATTTTCCCAATCGCGCGCGGTCATTCACCTACATTTTGCCAGATTACTCCGCGCTCGAGGCATCGCACAGCCAGCCACCCCGCCGAAAATGGCCGTGAGCAAGGTGCCAGGTTGAAAGGCATCACATTTTCCACCTGAGATCGAAGAGCAATATCCAGCGTTAGTCGCCACGATTGCCGCTGTTGGAGACAACCGTGGCTGCTTGGAGTCATCGTCCGCAAATCCACTTGTCGGCGATCGTAGGGGCATCTGAAATGGGTTGATGATGATCAACTCGAGGCGCGTGACTCAGCTGCGCCCTGGTTGAAGCTCAGGTCTGTATTGAAATACATTTTCAGCTTCGGAAAGCTACCAACTACATGTATTAATACTACACGAGATCATCTATCCATGAAGGGGGAATGAAGACGACCTGCACGCGGTAAGTTACCGCCGGTAACCTGGCGTTCCTACAGTATCGCCCCGTCGGCGAGGACACCACAGGAAAGCAAACACGGGACTTCCGCCGAGATTACGACAGTCGCAGTGCTCTCAGATTTGCACAATGGGCGTAAGCACACTGCGCCGCTCGTAAGCAGTGTGCGACCAGCGCGACCTCGGCGCTCAACGGTTGGTCCACACCAAACAATTGAACGCGTCAAGTGCAGCAATTGAACGCTGCGTCTAACGAACGATTCTGGACGCAGAGCTCCTCGCAAAGTCTGCTCGTTGAAGTTGTCGGACTAAAAATTGTGAAACATTGCATTGCACTAATAAAGAGCGGCGCTGCGGCCCACGTTATTGAGGTCACGCTAACACCGTGCGCTCAAGCCCAGACGTGCTGCGTGGGCGTCGATGGACGCACGCACTGCGACGAGCTCTTGGCACTGGCGGGCGTGGAGGCGTCGATCTCGATGGACAGCAGCAGTCCCTCTTCGCTGCTGCTGCGGCACTCGCGCTTCTGCAGCTCGCGCAGCTGCCGCTTGGTGTACACCACGAGGCACGTGATGGCCAAGACGGTGAGCGAGACGCCCGTGACGACCATGACCATGCGACTGGTGGTCATCTTGGTTTCGCCCGTGAGGATGGCGGCGATGTCGGTCGCCTGCTCACCAATGTACGCCCACAGCACGGCGTGCGGGACGTTGCCAATGGCCGAGGACACGGCGAAGCGCGCCACGGACACGTGGGTGATGGCCAAGCTGTAGATCTTGACGATGTTGGGGATGCTCGAGAGCTGGTACAGCAGCACGGGCTTCCAGCTCGGACTGTTGAGCACCTCGGAGAAGGCGCGGAAGGTCGGAAACTTGGTGCGCAGGTAGCCGCCGATCATCTCCTTGCCCATGGCGCGCCCCAGCAGGAACGCCAGCGTCGAGCCGCCGGTCTTGCCCACGGTGATGACCAGCACCGCATGGGGCACGCCGAAGAGCGAGCCGGCCACCATCTCCAGCGCCGTGGCCGGCAGACAGAGCGGCACGGCCACCCAGAAGACGAGGATGAAGGCCAGCGTGCCCAGCACCAGGTGCGCCTCCACCCACGCCGTGACGGCCATGAGGTACTCGTGCACGGGCAGCAGAGACAGCAGCAGCACGGCGCTCGTGACCAGGAGCCCTAGGGCCGCCAGACGCAGCCACAAGTGCCACTTGGGGCGGGCCACGTACCGGTCCACGCTGTCCACCGCGCTGTAGTTGACGACCGATGGAGACATCCGCCCTATGCCTGCCATGCGTCCACAAACAGAACCTGAGTTTAGCTGACCTCGAGTCCTGAGGTCCAGTCTGAACTTGTGACGTCATGTGTACCGGAAAAAGGGTACAGGATCCGTCAAATGACCACTTCAACGTGGAGTGTAGCCATCAATCATAAGTTGGGATAAAGTACTTTACGTCTTCACCTACGACAGGACCGGTATCTACAAGTCCAGGCGAACGAACCTAAACCTGCGTTCGCGCGGTCGGACAAGCTGAAGAAACGGTGCGTAGCCAGCAGGACGAAGTAGACCTCCGGTGTGCTCAACCAGCACTGTAGCACGGATGAGCAGAAATCCAGGAAGAGTTTGTATGCATTGGCCTCCCACTTCGTGTCGTTGCCATCGACTTCACCAGCCGAAAATCCTCGCCCGATCTCGTTCAGAACGATAAACACCGGCCCGAGATCTATCACCAGGTTATAGACAAATGTTCATCCATTGACGGAGTTGGGCGTGCTGAGGTAATCCGGCAACTCATCCGGCACCTCCAACTGAGCAATTACGGCCCTTGCCAGCGCTGTGTTCATGATCTCGTCAAGCGCCACCTCTAAGAGTGTAGCTTTCCCGTCCAAAGCATCGACGAACAGCGCATGATCGATGTCCACCACAATCGTCCGGCAAGCACATAACGAACTTTGAAAACCTTGAGGAGCGAGAACTGCCTCTGGCCACCGTTGAATGTATTGCCTTCCAAACTCGCTCTTCTCGTTATCCGCCAGTGCGATTGGCCACGCATCGTCTCGGTAATTGAAGTTAGCGCCGATGAACGTTGACTTGTGCGCCGCGCAGAGTTGCGTTACAGCTTGCTCGAGCTTGTAGCTATTCAGTGAACTTGGGGTCTCGACAGCTAGCGGCTGCGTTAAAGTTGGCTGAGGTTGTTGTGGCATCTTCACCAGCACGTGCACGGGGCCGTTGCCCGCCACAAGTTCTGCATCCGATACTTCGACCTGCATGTCCTTCTCTGACAAGCCGTAGGCGCGGAGCGGCACCGACCCAATTTTCAACTTTATCATGCCAGAAGTATCGCTCACACCACTAACGACGCCGTTCACCGTCTGCCACGAGCCTTCCGTCGTCTTGGCCAGGAAGAGCTGTAGATCCGCGGCGTCACATTGGATGCCAATAGGGTGCTTGGCCTTGATCGCATCCTTCAGGAGAGCTACCGTCGTCCACTTTTCAATGATTATACAGCCTGCGTCCGCTTCCCCTACGACCCAGTAGTTTAGTAGAGCTACCATTTTTACTCTTCGCGGCAGGTTTGGGAATGCAAACGCAGATTGCAGAGTACAGATTGACGTATTCGTCATGAGAAGAAGGTTTGGTTTGTATCAAGTTTGAATCTGTCGCTGTATCAAGTATAATCAAGTACAGATCTAACGCAGTCAGCTGATCAGCGTCTTTCATCTTCTTGTTGCCGTTAAAATGTTGTGACCAACCTCAATGGGCAGAGTGACACCCAGTTAACTGGGTTAAAAATCGTGAGACATCAGTCCCATGGCAGTTTTGAAGCTCTCTTAGGTGAAGTAGGTCCGAGACGCAGTCTGCTGGAAATGCTAACACAGTCTTCAGGCCGCTCACCTTTTCACCATCGCGGTCTTCACACCAAAATGGCTACACCATTCACTTCTTGACGGCTTCAACGTACATGTAGCCATCTTGCAACTCTCATCCGCACTGCAGACCGAATTCCAGGCTTTCGTCAGGTAGAATATGACTACGGCTTTAGTTGGGCACTTGGCTTGCCCGTGTATTGTGGTGGCGACCCGTCGCGATGGCGTAAAAGTCAGTTTGGCCTGTAGCGGTCGCCATGCTGGCGTGAATGTATCTACCCTCTTTGAGCCGTTGATCAACCACTCCTGCCATGGCGAAGGCGAAGGATGAGGACGAAGAGGAGCTGCGAGAGGAGGCTCTGGCCGAGTGGGTCTCTCGCGGTCGAACAGCGCAGGACTTCACCATGCAGAAGATGATCAGTACGGCGATTGGTACATAGACCCTTTACCCTGCTCTATTAACTAAACATTAGCCATCTTTGTGTTGAAATTCCAGAGCTGTGGGAAGAAGAAGACGCCGGCAATGAAGAAGAAGACGAGGAGGGGGATCTGGAGGACAAGCAGGAGCTCATGAGGGGCTACCAGATGATCGGACCTTTGGTTGACCAGGCCAAAGACGCAGCTCGCCACTATAAAGAAGTCGCGATGGTGGAGGGGAAGAAGGCGCTGGCCACGGCCTGGAAGTACGCGGAGCTGCCTCCTCTCCGCGACCGTCGACTGCTCCGGCAGCATGTAGTTCATGTGCACGAGATGGATGCGGAGACGATGAAGTATTCAAGAATCCACGACCGAGTAAGAGAAGAGCTGGACGACGCTCAGCAGATGGAGGAGGAGCTGCACTTCGGTCTCAAGAAGAGGAACAAGCGCCACGCTCCACTGCTGAACCGGTTCCAGGAGCTCAAGACCGAAGCGGACAGAGCGCAGCGTGAGCAGATGATGGAGGCGATTGAGCAGCGTCGGCGAGAAAGAATCGACAAGGCGATGGAAGAGAAGAGGCGGCAGGCGGAGGAGAAGGAGAAGAAGGCGGAGCGGCTCGTGGCTCAGCGTCGACAGCGGAACATGAAGTTCTGGCAGAAGCAGCTCGTGGAGGCGCGAGAGTTTGCAGAGCAGCAGACGTTCGAGCAGGAGCGGAAGGAGGAGTTTGAACGGAAGGTGGAGGAGATGCAGGAGGAGATGCGAATGGTCGAGGAGGAGGAGAGTTTGGACGCCAAGAGAGCGTTCGAGCGGCTGCAGACGACGTCTTCAATTGGAGTTTTTGATACAGCTTATGAACCAGGGGAATGGAACTCGGCGATTGAAGGCGGACACCGGACGGGTCTAGACGAGCACACGGTTGGAATCTCCACTACTCGTGGGTTTATCATTGAGAACGAGAAGAAACGGATCGAGTTACTCGAGATTCAGTCCAAAGTGACGATGTTGCGCGAGAAATTGGAGCAAGTGGAGCAGGCCAAGACGAATCTGGGGCTGGATATGAGAACGATTCTCGAACGGAAAGACCATTTACTACAGGAAATTAAGCAAGTCCGGGCGGAGCAGGATGATCTGAACGACGTGCTGGCAGGACCGCCACGGAGAGACCCGTCGGAGCGCGAGAAGCAGCAGTTCCACACGTTGGTGACGCGCAGAGCTGCCTACATGAAGCAGCTCAAAGACCTGGACTCGCGTATCGCGAATATTCAGAAACGAACTGAAATTGTTCATCGATCCGAGGCCTCATTCCTGCCGATGCTGAAGCAAGCCGAAGAGAAACTGGCTGAAGTTCAGGCTCAAGTGGGTGCTATTGAGAAGGAACGACATGAACTGCCCGTGGTGGTAGGCAAAGCCATCTTCCAGCCTGAAGGTGAGGGCACAGAGTCAATGCCCGTTCAAGTCACCAAGCCTTTTATTGATCCGACGAAGCTACTGAACCAAGTGACTATGGAGAGCAAGTTTGAGATTCTGAAAATTGCCGTGGCGCCTGTGAACGAACACTACAAGAAGTCGAAGACTCACGCGATCGAGGCGTGGAAGGTCAACGAGTTTCGGTCGCTTGCGGAGCAAGAGCAGGACAGCGCCAAAGCTCGACTGGTCAAAGTGCGAGACCGCTACGTAGAGCTTCAAAACACCGCACTTCGAAGTGATATTGTGCACGCCATTCAGAAATTCCATGTAAGTACTGCACCACTCAACGCTATCAACTAGGTCCTAATGGTTGTTTATCTGGCTACAGCAAGATGACAACAAACTGCGCCGGTGTATTTTCCCTTTGAAAGGCTCGATCGAGTGGTGGAGCCACCAAGTGCCTAAGAAATCCATGGGGCTGGCATACTCTGTTGAAACCAACTCGATTATTCTGGCGGAGGGGGAGACCACGGGGAAAATTACGGGCTGCATTCATCTTCCGAAGCGCTGCTTCTATACGATTCAAATGAGCGTCGGCATCCAGAGAGTTGGTGCTGAAATCGACGGATCTGATGCTGATCTAGACCTGGACAAGCTCACAGAGGACTGGAAGCTGTACATTGGACCAGAAACGGACTCGTTACAGCATCATACCTTCCGAGACCTTGGCGGAAAGGTTCGTTTTGTTCGTATCTACATACTGAATAGCTTACAGCCTCGTACTGACATTATGCGTATGATACAGATCTTGCGGACGGGAGATTTGACCTTTGAATTTTCAGGTTATCGGCTCTGTTTCTGCTTGGAGGTCACTCACAAAGGGATCACTGACCCCAAGCGTAAGACTCTTCGGTATGTTTTGAGTAACGCGGCTAGATATGAAGAGCGTCTGGAGGATTTTCGAGAAGAAGAAAACCGCGTACGACTTCTCCAGAAGGAGAAACACTTTGTGTCGGAGCTGGTGAAGACGATGCGCATGCAGTCGAAGAAAACGAGTAGCCAGCGAGCGACAGAGCTGCTGCTGGAGCTCATCCAGGTGGAGAGAAGCAAGACGAAAATGTGGGACTCCACGCTGTTCCATGGACATTTCCAGAGATTCAAGCGAGCCGAGTACGTGAACATGCTGCGAGGGGAGATTAAGAAGGAGGTAAGTTATATATTTTCTTGGTCTTACTACAGGCTGAGCTCACCGATCCTTATTATTTTATTAGATCGCAGTTCAAATCGACCACAGTATTGCTCTTCGTCAAGGTCGAGTTAGTGAGAGTGAGCTGTTGGCTGCCGGTACTCCAGTGGTTATCGATAATTCTGTGCAGGGCAAGAGGAAAGAGATATCACGGTGGGTCTCGTATTTGCTTAGGTTGCTTGCTGTGGTACCTATTCTAACGTGGGTGCATAACAACAGAGTGGACTTTCAAGCTCGGAAATCTGCGCTAATGGAGCCAAAGCGGCTGGCTGTGCAGAAGTTCTTGGGGGATTTTTGCAGCTTCAAATCGCTCATTGTTGGCAGGGGGAATTCTCTCACGGGGTCTTACCGAAAAGAGACCATGATTGTTGGCGTTCGATACGAGTGGCGGGAAGCGCGAATGAAGCTTCATGTTATGCACAAGGTACGATCACAGTCAAATTTATGGACATATATCTTCATATTGAGTTTTTTTTTCATGATTGCAGCTTTGTGGACCTTCGAGCAGTGTTGTGGATACAACTGAGATGAATTTATCTGTCAAGACGGAGTGGTTTCAACTGGACAATGCAAACGCCGTTTTCTTGGCGAGTTCATGTGCCAGGATACTCCGAAGATGGCGGCGAGAGGAAGCAGAAGCCCGCGTTCTTGTAGTCGCCAAGGACGCAAAGATCGAGCAGTTGCAACAAGAGACGCAGAAGAACATCCAGGAGGAGAACGATGCCGCTATCCGAGAGGCAAAAGAGGACGAGATTCTCTCCCAGCAGATGCAACAGGAGCTGGCTCGCAGAGAGAAACTCTTCTACGCGGACGCTATCCGACTGACGACGTACAACGAGGCTGTCTCCTCCCAGATCGACTTCCAAGTGCAGCGCAAGCTCAACGTGCTGCAACAAACTTCGAAATCTCCCATCAATATCACGCCTATCGTCCACGAAGTGAAAGAAAACTTTGCAAAACAATTCGTCCAAGGAAAGCTCGCGTTGGTAAAGAAAACGTGGGAGCGGAAGACCAAGCGCGTCAGCAGCAAACGCACTAAGGCGTGGAAAGAGCGCGAGTTCCGCATCCGCCAGGAGCAAGAGTTGGTGAAGGAGGTCAATGAATCCAACGAGGGCGATCTGGCAGCTCTAAAGTCTAATCAGGAGCAGCGAGCGAGGGAAGAAATGCTGCGGATCCCGAACTTTCAAGCTGCGATCGAGCAGGCTTTCGACTGCGAACATCTCGAGTTGAAAGCGTGGGGAACCAAGTACGACTTTGGTTTAAAGTGCAAGAAATGCGGGAAAGAAATGTCCAAATCGTGCGACGACCCCAACCACGCCAGAGGTGGGCACGTTGAACTGGATGAAGACGTTCGGATCCACCGCGCTCAAGTGACCAGCGGCGCTGCGTTTCGCTTCGAAAGTGCAGACCATCTTCATAAAGTGGAGAACGAGCGTCTTCGACTCGAGAAAGAGGCGCGGTCGATTGAGCAGGAGGAGGCGATGCTGTACGACCGCGTGGATCCCAAGTCCATTGACGATTTCAACTATCGCCATGGAATTAACCGAGGAATTCTGCTAGAAAATGCAGATAGCTCCGACCCGTTGTACCCTCGGTTGGTTCAGGACATTCATCGAGCTTCGCACCAAGATGAAATTTTGTTTCACGGAAGACTGCGGAATTTTAACTTTCGCATCCAGCAGATTTTCAAACAGCACGCCGAGTGTACACGAAGGCTGGAAATGCAGGTAAGATGGCTACATTGCAGACACGGAGATGGCTACATCCTAACCCGTGTGAATTGTAGCGCGCTTTTCTGGAGAATGCGAACCAGGAGAATGAGACGGTGTTGAAGAAGCTTCCTCTGATCGGAGCGGATCACGCTCGAGCCGTGACGTTAATCGAGGAAGATGCGGCGGTTTTGAAGAGGCTTGAGGAAGCAAAAGTGGCGCTGATTGCAGCTCAAAAAGAGCGAGAGGCTGCGTACTACGCTATTGAAGGTGTCGAGGAAGAGGCTGAGTTCTCCGAGTTTCACGCTCCCGCTCTGATCAAAAGCAGCGACGAAATGAGCGCAATTTTTAAGCGAATCCAGGCAGAATTCGACTTTGTCAAACAGCAACTTGGCACTGCGAAGGAGCGACTAAACAAAGCTGAGGGCGAGCGAAGTAAGGTCGATTCGCTGATGAATCGACTGTACTGTCGCACGCAGAACTCGGTACTGCGCACCAGATACGGCTTTGTGAAGGTTAAATACTACCGAACCGAGGACAATTGCGTGGTGGTGAGCCCTCTGCACTGGGAGGCGACACTGTTCATCCCTATGGACGAGATTCTAGCGTACGAAGCCATGTACCGAGAAGATGAGGGCTCTGCCATGGCGGAAGAAGACGAAGTCGCTCATGAATTCATCCGCGTAGAGCGGGAGATGGAGTTGGCTGAGCGGAAGAAAATGGAGATTGAAGACGAGCAGATACGAGGGATCGTGGCGTGGAGAACGAAGAAAGAGAAGGAGGAAGTTCTCCTGACTGAAACAATTTGTCAGGATGAATTAGAGCTGCAATTTAACTACGAGATGGAAGGACGAAAGAGAAGTATCGAGTCCGCTCGTAAGGAAGCTCTACATCTTCAACGACGTGGTCGTGTGTACCCTCCTCGAATTCGTCGACCGCTTACCCAACGTCCCAGTCGGTTCGATACTAAAAGAGTCACGCGAGCAAGTGAAAAGCGGTTGGCAATGGCCACGATCGAGCAGCAATTACTTGCCAAGGAGAAGAAGCTACGAAATGAGAGCTTGCGCGAGCGGAACACTATCAGTGTCAACTCCCTGGCGCGTGAAGTTTACGGCGAGCTACTGGCAGATATAGTCAATGAGCTTTGTGCGGAGAAGATTCACCAGGGAAAACACGAAGCGGACGAGCTCCTCCGCTCCAAATGCAGTGCAGTTATCGTCGCTACAGATCAAGAGATCGCTCCTAGCGGTGCTTTAGTCGCTCCGTTATTGGGTCTCGATCGACTGTGGGTCTCCAGGAAGCAGAAGTACACTATATTGTACTCCACTTGGCGTCAGGAGTACGCGAAACTCCAGCTTGTTCGGGACGAGATGGCACGGCGTGAGGAGCTGCGTCGACTCGCAGAAGAAGAGCGACTTCGCCTGGAAGCTCGACGTAAGGAGATGCTGGCGGAAGAGCGGTTATGCCGTACGTTTTACCTGGAAGAGATCGTCTTGTACATGCAGGAGCGGAAGGCCATGGCCAACGCGGAGATGGAGATGAGGGAGTACCTCCGCCAGCTCGAACTCGAGGCCATGAAGACAAAGTACTCGAAAATGGTCGAGGATCGGAATCGAGTAAACGATAAAGCCGCGCGTAGACTTGAGATCAAACTCGGCAAGAACGAGCAGCATCGGCTGCACCGCGAGTGGCGGCAGATCAAGATCGAGGACGAGTTGTCCATGCAGATCCGAGAGAAAGAGATCGCTGACGCACTGGCTGAAGCCTTGGAGCGGCAGTTCGACAAGTATCTAGCGGATCAGTTGGCGCAGGGCAAACTCTCAGCCGAACTGGAGGCCAGTCGCATAGCAGAAAGGCTGCGCGAAGCTCAGCAGGTTGCGATGGAGAAGCGCAGAGCGTTCGAGGCCAAAATGGTGCAGGAACGGATGATCGCGACGGTGGAGACCTTCTACGCTCTCTCTAGAGCCGAGGTGGAGTGGATGGATGCCGTTGAAAGAGCCAAGTTTTGGCAGCGAAGAGCTCCTCCGTTGGAGGAAAACTTGAGAAAAATGGAGCCTGAGCTCAAGAGAATTCAGGAAGAACGTGAACGTGTTGTGAATGACGCCAAATCCAAGCGAGAGTACGCAGATAAGTGCAAAAAGCGGATTGCAGAAGCTGATATTTCTCTGTCTCGGGCGATTCAGGAGAAGGAGAAGGCCATGCTGAAGTACAAACGAGTGCACAAGTTGAACGCCACGATCGACTCTGAAGTGCTGCACGGTCGGGTCCAGCGCTTCCGAACGGTTTACTTACGGGACCGACTGCACGTCCAGTACTTCGCTCTGTTGACGTATTCCATCATCCGACGCGCTCTTGTCGAGTGCAGCGAGCGCGAGATTACTCGACTGCAAGAGCAGATTAAGAAGCTGGAGCAAGAGCGACTTTTCAAGAGCAAGGAGGTGAGTGTGTTGCAGAGGAAACGACGACGAGCGCTGCGTATGCGGCTGCGGCGCGCCGAGCTGAACAAATTGATGTTCGGCCACTCGCGCCGTCGCCTGCTGAAGGAAATGTTTCAACGGTGGACGAAGCTCTGGTCGGAGCGTAACCGAGTGCGTGCGTCCTTCAAGCTCAAGCACGAGATGCTGCTGCAGAAGCAAAAGCTCACGATGACTACCAGTTCCCCGCTATTGAAACAGCAAAGCCTGGTACGCGAGAATAAGCCCGCAGCTGATATCCCTACTCGATTATCAACCATGCACGACCACCAGCGTCGACTACTGCAGTGTCGCCTGTGTCGGCAGAAGTACTCGGAAGAGCAGAACAACCGCTACTCATGCACGTATCACCCTGGTACCTACGAATTTGCGTGCGTCCGAACGTGTGAGACCCGTCGGAACGCGTCGTCAGGCCCTGCCGCAGTGCCTGCCTCCTGTATGATGCACCGAGCCAAGCGCTGGCTGTGCTGTGACGAGACGGAGGAAGGTCGCTACGGCAGTTCAGGCTGCGCCAGGAGGTTCCACTTACCTGCACGCAACAACCCGGAGCTGGAACAGCTCGTGGACACCAAGACAGCTCAAGAACAGACGATTCTTGATCAAGTTAACCAACAGCTACTGGAACTGCGCGAGCGCGACGTGGTGGGGAAGATGAAGTTCGCGACCAAGTCCGTCGTCACCAAGATGGAGCAGGAGCTGGCCAAGCAGCGAGCCACTGCCGCCAGGTTCCACACGCTCGACCGTCGCAGTTAAGCTGTAACTCAATTCAGAGCCTCTTGGACCAGTCTCTGCAGGTATTCCGTGGCCACTCCGCAGTCGTCTGCCAGGCGTTCAAACGGACTGCGACCTGAAGTTTCCCTGCTGGTAGGTGAGTGCTGGGGTTTGATGAATTTGGTGAAGCGGTGGACCAGCGAGCGCTTCTCCGGTGAAGTTTGACTGGACGGGGAGATCTCGGCTGAAGTCTCGACTCCAGTGACTTCTTGGGGGAGAATCACCATCTCCGGGTATCGGTACGAGTACTCGACGGCAAGATTGACGATCGATCTCGCGTCTTCCGGCTCGATGGCGCGTTGAAGCTCCAGACTTTGCCACAATCTTGGGAAGTCTCGGAACGCGGGACTGTTCGCGTATCCGCTGATGAACGGGTGGGTCAAGGCTTCATCAGACGTCAGTCGACGGTCCGGATCGCGGTTTAGCGTTCGCTTGATGAAGTCGCGACACACGGGTGAGAATCGGTTGGGCATTGGAGGCAACGTGTCCTGGCAGATGGCCTCTTCCAAGCCGAAGAATCCGTCGTCCACTGTGAACGGGTACGATCCCGTAGCGAGGGAGAACAAGGTGATACCGAGAGACCAGACGTCACTCACGCACGTATACTGAGCCCCGGAGATGCGCTCAGGCGCCATGTACATCATGGTTCCCGTGAAGTCGGAGAAGAACGAGTTGGACTTGGCCAACGTCCCTGCCAACCCGAAGTCCGCCACCTGCACACAAAAAGTGTTAGGTAGAATTTAAAGAGTTTTGGTGGGTATGAACCATATCTGTACCTTGAACTCGCCGTGTCGATTCATGAGGATGTTGGCTGGTTTGATGTCCCGATGAACCATTCTGTACCAGCAACAAAACGTAGTTTCATCAGGTCTGGTAACAACTTTCAAGTATTTTACTCGCGTACCTTTGGCTGTGCATGTGGTCGAGCGCTGTGATACAGCAGAACGCGGCGTGCCTTAGTACTTCCTCCGACACTGTAATATTTGCATCCAGTAGGTCCTGCACACTGCCCATGTCCATAAATTCCATCACAACAGAGACCGCACACCTAGCTGGCTTGAGGAAGGCGCCGTAGAATGTGACGAGGTACGGGCAGAGCGAGTTGCGGCCTCGCAGCCCAGCCAGGAACCTCTGCTTCAGCGCATCTGAGCCGCTGGACTGAGGAGCTTCAGTGTCAATCGGAGCGAGGTTGTCGTGGAGGGCGTGGAGTTCGCGCTTGACCATGTGCCGGTCTTCTTCCTGGTAGACCACGACCTCCTTCACAGCGACCAGCTTCAGCGTTGGCAAGTACAGCGACAAGTAGACTGTCCCTCCTGCTCCTTTGCCGAGTTTCTTGACTCTTTTGGTGCGTTTCCCCAGCTCTTCGGGTCCGTCGTGAGCCACCTCATTGAATTCCGCGGCTTCGGGGGAATTCATGCTCAGAGTGATGCTAGAAGCTCGACGCGGACGGGTGACCGGGGCCGTTTGAGCTGCAGAGAAGACGAATGAAGGCTTATCCTGGACGCGATCGTCAGCGAATAGGACGCTCTTGCGCCGTGGTCCGCAGTCCGTCTTGGGCTCTTCATGCATCAGCATCATGGGGATCGGAGGCTTCTCGAGTTTCTCTAGGGACAAGTGCAGGTTCATCTTGCGCTTGCCCTGCGGGGGTCCGAAGGTTTGAGGCGAAGTAATGACGGGGCTTGGCTCACGAACCTGAAGCTCGTCTTCATCGTCGGGGATCGTGAACAGTGTGGGCTTCCGCTTCTGACGGAACTGACGCGCTTGATGAGCTGCGAAGGCCGCAGCGCGCACACTTGCGTGGACGTTGGGGCTGGCGATTCCGTGGACGGAGCCGACGCGGTCTCGCCCGTTGAACTCACGGCTGCCGACCCCGTAGCCTTTTCCATTCCGGACAGGGAACGAGGAAGCCGTAGCGAGCATGATAAAGGTTGGAGATTATCTTCTGCTTGGGGCTAGACCCACCCTTCGACCTTGATCCCTAACGTACTAAACTTGGTGCTGTTTGCAGTCCACGAACAATGAAGAGTGAAGGGCTGAAGCCGATAGCTGGGCGCTAGATAAGAAGACGAGGCCAGTTGACACAGACGCGTTTGTGCTCACCATTCACTATTTTTACAAATTTGATATCAAAAACTTAGCTGCTTATTGCTGGTTCTAGAGCGAATCGGTTCATGTAACTCGATAACGCTAGTTTCTGGACGCTGCGGTTACCTGCTGGGTCACTCCACGAGAGATTGTGGACCAGCGCCTCCATACTCTGTTTGAGTGCGTCGTCTCCGACATTCTCCGTCAGCTGGACGAGGTAGACGACGCCACTGTGCCTCAAATGGCCCCTGGGACGTCTCGTGTCCAGCTCACAGATGAGCAGAAGACAACAGGCTTGGTCGCAGCACAAATTACACAGCAGGTCCGCCAGGGCGATGCCGAATTTTGCGGTCTCGGGGTTTGTTGCAGCTTGAAGGAAGAGTGTCAAAGTTGCAGAGAGTTTGTCTTGAGTCGCTGATACTCTTGAGGTGTCGAGTGCAGCGACGTTGGCGAGGATTTCCGCTGCCAACTCCTGCCAGTACGGGGGTGCAGCCTAGTAATGCAGTAGGTTAGAGGGGTAATTATTGCCAAGGGGGTAGTGGAGGGTACCTCGTTGTCGGACAGCAGGATCTCCCACATGCTCTGCACGAAGTCGGTGGGCAGTTCTCCCTGACTGAAGTCCGAGCCGCAGAGGTTCCGGCAGCATTCGAGAACGAGGCTCGCGTAGTCGCTGATCTGTGTTGGGAGCGTACTCAGCACGTGGAAGAGCGTGACCAGAACCTCCAGCTCGAGCATCTCGGCTGCGATCTCGGCGTCGATGCTTGCATGACACAGCGCGACCACTTACAAGGTAATCCTTTGGTTAGTCGCAATTGTTGATGCACGCGTCATACACATTCGTCCTTACACGTAAACTGCAGCGAGTCATGCACTTCGTACTCTTCCCACCTACGCGACACCAGTCGGCCAGTCTCCTCTTGGTCTGTTTCTCATCAATATCCACTGCAAACCAGAAATGACCCGACGTACTTTGCTCCGAAGACCTCAGACATGTTCCACGCGTAGTTCATCGTGGCCTGTTCTTCTAGAATGCGGGCCAAATGATCCACTAGATCAACGATAACAAAGTATAGATTATACCCAAGCCTGAAGTTCTGGAGTAAAATTCGCCCAACGTACCGATGGCCGTGACGCCGTCGGCCTTCCGAAACTCCTCTCGGTCTTCTGCATCCACGAGCCGCATAGCCAGCTCCGCCAGCGCGTTCCTCATGGATTCGCTGTCTTTTCCCTGTCTAAAGCATTCCAGTGGAGTGGCAATGGGCCCATCTGACCGTCGAGTCTTTCGCTGCGAGGTCATTGGCAATTGACGAGACGGTAGACTAGACGGGTCGCTCGTAGTGTTCTACGGGTGTAACAGCCCACACACTAAGCTTCCTAACTATAGCAGGTGATCAAGTTGAAGTCGGTCCTGTACGTTGGCAACTTCCTCACGTCCATGTGTACCCAAGACGATACAGTCCTGATGTATCTGCACCATGGGCCCGTAGACCTCGAAGGGGGGGGGGGGGGGTATCGCCACTGCAGCCATGTGAATGATGTTCCGGTACTGCATCAACGCACCTCCAGGGGGCTCCCTCACTTCTGAATTGTCACTGTCTACGAGACATCTACCTTTAGCCGACGATGTCGCCCCCTGCTGCCCTCAACACACTGCAGAATCAAGTGAGCGAGGAGAACCGATGTAAATATTCGAGCAAGCGCTGCGACTTCCCTCGGTCTTTCAAGCGGAACGGCGAGCTGCATCGCTTCTGCGACTACCACCGCATGAAGGCCAACATCAACCAGCGTCGGGTCGACCAGAGGCGAAAGGCTCAGCGAGCGTTGGGCATTTCCAGCCCGACTTCAGCTCAAGACCCACAACTAATGGCGCTTCCGGACGTGACGTGGTATGAAGACTTGGACCCGCAGGACCTCGAGTACCTCGACCGCTTGCTGTCGAGCGAAGAAGAGCAAATAGCGGCCGAAGCGGAGCCGTAGAAAGAAAGCTACATAAGAACATTGCAATGAATATATCAAGTGTTGGGCCCTGCGTGCATCATCGGAATGACCGTTTTGGTTGACGAGGGCCACGCGAGAAGCTATAGCATAGTATTAGTAGGATATCAGATATTAATTAACGTGAGTGGTGGACGAAAGATCTCCGGTTTTCGAGGCTGCGAATCGTACTCAATCGGCCATTTTGAAAGTGTCGGGGCATGTGTAGTGGACTATCCGACCCCAATTCAGTGGCCAGGAGACTCGAAGTGCGCCAATTGGGTTCACTCTGACACTACTAGCTAGCTCCCAGGATTTTGTAAGACTAGAAACCAAAGGACTTCGTAGTAATGACGCAATTTAGCGGATTCTTGAGGATCTCTTCGTGGTCGATTGACCCTATTACGCCTCTGGATAATCAACGGCCACAACAAAGTGACCCATTCGCCTCACCGAATCAACTGTGGTGATCAGCAAAACGGCTCACGTGTTCTTCCGATGGTCTCAGCTGACCAACTTCACAATCAAAGTCGATTCTTCCCAGCCAAGCCTGCCAGCCTCCCACAACCAACGCCTTATCATCCACGCGTACTCTTCCATATCCAACACCCAATGAACCCGTCAGCTCCAGCAACTAACAGCGACCTAAGTGTCGGCTACTACCACGACCTAGTCGAATTGGACGCCGACTTCCACGCATCCCTTCTTCAAGAAGAACGTCGGTGCCGATACCCGAGCAAGCGCTGTGAGATGCCGCGAGCGATCAAGCACAACGGCGAGATGCACCGCTTCTGCGACGTCCACCGCGACCGAGCGAACCTGAACCAGCGCCGACTCGAAGCGAGACGGAAGCGCGAGATGCTGGAGCTGGAGCACGCGAACGCGTCTCGGAAGCGAAGTTGCTCGTCGCCAGAGCGAGAAAGCACAACGGAAGTGGAGAATCAGACAGAGAAGCAGCGGTGGTCCGAGCCCTGCGAGTCTTCGTCGCCTCTTCACTCCGTCTTGGCACAAGACGAGCTCAACTTTCTGAGCCAACTGCTCACGCAGAACAGCTTGGAGGATTTACCCATAGATAACATGGCCGGACAAGCCAACAACGCGTCGGACAGCGGGTTCGCGTGCTGATAAAACCTGCCAAAACCCGTTAACGAACCACAACAGCGCTAGGTCCAAGCGAGCAAGTAGCATTTTATTAGAACACGAACCCTGCGAGCGTTTGACTCAGGATTTACTTGTCGCGAGATCAAGTTGATCGACGGAAATCAACACACCAGCAGCAAGAGAGCACGCTTGATGGTGCACTGGATCTCGCAGAACCTTAGCTGCAAGGTTAACCGCAGATCTCGAGCTGAGCGAACCGCAGCAGCAACGGTTCAAAAGCAACGAGTGGTTGCCGACGAGCAGCCCACAGCTTAGAGCAAATAGCGAAGGATAGTTGTTTGCTTAACGCTAATTCATTCAGTTCTCAATTTTCCAACTCATACAACAACTTCTACTGCACTACCAAGTCGAACGTCGACGACGTCAACCCGTCCGAGTCCTTCAGTGCCAGCTTCCTAAGTGCTACCAACCAATAGAGTCACACTCTATTGCGACATTACTACACACAACATGTCTGCTTGGTCCTCAACAAGTGTTTGCTTAGCACGAACTTTGTCCTCGTAGGCTAAGAAAGAGGCTCAAGCGGCGGAAGAATCAAGATGACAAGCAGAATTCATAGCGAGAAGAGGCCAGCGGGGTCCTAATTCTCGGCACTGACCACTGAGAAAGGCCACAACGCCACGTGCCTCGCGAGTGGGATTCTACGCGAATGCACAACCAGCGCTCTGTGTATCATAGAGCTAAGTACTGCGAGGAGTTCCTCTTTCAAGTGCAATTGTGGGTCGACAGTTGCTTGCAGCGTGCTTTTCAGTGGCGCTAACTGTCGTTCTGGCTAGAGCACGAAAATTATTAGTAAGTACCAACAGTAGAATCGCTAGCTAGAAAGATCTGCCTCGTCCGCAATTTCGAGCCGCTGGTGGTTCAGATAGTACTCTACGTGCGCGATGGCGTTGGAACTAATGTGCGGCTTATCCACCAAGTGTGGCCGTACAAGGGGTCGTACGCGTGAAATACCGAAGAGTAGAGTTCCAGTATCACTTTTCGCCTTCGGTTCAGACATGCCACAAACCTTTCGTCGTCGATAGCGGAGCGCTACTAGGGATATCTGAACAGGTTGAATATTGAGCACACCGACCTCCCCAATAGACCAACCATGAAGGATTACCAGCAAGATGTGGCAAGCACGCAACGCTCGTGCACCGCAAAACCTCGGCTACGCTCACCACCAGAGACCGACTTTCATTTCACAATCGGCCGTCAACTCAATACCCAGCGACGAGCTCCACTCAACATCCACCATTCATAGCGGCTACAATGGACCACTGCCAACTACCTGCAGACATTCAGCAGTCTCTGCAGCTGAGAGGCACGCAGCTGTGCTGTTACCCCAGCAAACGCTGCCAGAACCTCCGAGTGATGAAGCGCAACGGAGAGCTGCATCGACTGTGCGAGTACCACCGCCTGAAGGCCAATGTGAACCAGCGCAGACTCGAGCAGCGTCGACGAATGCGGACCAACGAGGCGGTGGCCGCTGCCACGAGATCGGATCGAAGCGAAGAATTCGCCTCACACCGCCTCTCGCTGCCAGATTTGAACGCAACAGACACCTCGGACTTGGAGCTGGACGTGCTGGATGAATTTTTGGCTCAGGCGGATATTCAACTATCGCCCATGAATGCGACCTCCCATTCGCACTTGCACGACTTCGTCGACTGCAACTCCGACACACGGATGTCCATTTAGGCGGCAGGACAATCGAGAGTTGTCTTCTGATGGATACGTATTTGTCTAATTCTGCGTAAATCAAATACACGTGACTTCACAGAATTCGTAGTAAAATTAACATTGAAAACGATTCACATTTATGAAAAAAAAACTTAACGGAAACCAGCTAAAGTACATCCCCAACTTCAATTCATGGGCTTTGATCAGCGTCCGCATTTTCAGCTGAAGCGTTGTCGCCCTTCAGCAATTCTTGTAGAATCCAAATATCGTCTGGCTCAAGTGTCGAAGGGGGGAGGACGTTAGCTGGCAGTGACGCAAAGTTGTCGCCACTAATCGGCGAGGTCGGCGGCATGCCACGCAACAATTCAGGTGGAAGTGAAATAGCAGCAACAGGAGGTTCTTGTTGGTATTTGCGCTTGTGTTCGAGTCGACGCTGGTTGAAGTTGGCCTTGGTGCGGTGGAACTCGCAGAAGTTGTGGAGCTCGCCATTCCGCTTGACGCCGCGGGGGTTCTCGCAGCGCTTACTTGGATACTGGCATCTCAGCTCTTCTTGAATCGGGTGAACTCCTTTCGCCTCTGAGTTCGTCGAGTCCCCGTCCATGGCTGTCGGATGTGAGTGCGAGCTGCTCAAATGATAACTGCGGTGGAGTCGAAGAGAGAAATAGTCATGAGGCTTGCCTTGAGCGTCGGTTGATATGATGCCTGGCCTCTAGTGCGTTGGGGGTACGGATATTGCCACCCTAATTCTTCCTAGAAAAGAACACTAGAGCTCTCTAATGACCTAGAAATGAGGAACTAGCTGCCTTGTTGTCTAACTGACGTCACTTCTGAACGTGAAAAAGAGGGTTTTAGCAGCGACCCTCATATCACACAACGAAAACAGTTTTTGGTTGACCTCGCCCCGCTTATTGCATCGTATCGACTTTCTCCATAGTAGGGGGAGAGAAACGCGATTCAACTTTGTAGGCAATGGTCTAACGCACTTGACGGGAGCATGTTTGGGGGAAGCGATGCGGATACGCCGTCTTTGGTGGCTCAGGGATCTTCTCCGTTGAGCTCGAACTCGCAACTATTGCGGGTTATTGCTGCGCTTGGTAAATGCGGTCATGCGATTATCCTAAAACTCGAGTGGTTTAGACGGGTTTCTCGGATACAATCTCCGCGTCATGGGCTGGAGACAAAAATGGAAACGGCTCCTTCGTCATTCAGTTGTATCAATGCGGAGTGAGCGACATCGAGCAGTTTTTAAAAGCTTCCTCGCGCCGCTTTTAAATGAAGAGTAGAGAGTAGCTGTTGTGCTACAGGATTGTCAGTAATGGTCTATTTACGAGTCGTAAATTTCGACACGTCTGCGTAAAAATCAACAAGACGCCCAGTAATGGAAATTGAGTCAAAGCTTCTGCTTCTCTGATGGGTACGAAGCGGTTTGTGGGGGGAGGGGGGGGGGCAAAAGTGGGGGCTTAGACGGTAGCTAAGTTCTAGTTCCATGATCCGCTCGAGCGCCAACCTCCAAAGGGATACCACGTTGATGGATCCAATGAGCAGAATTACCACAGTAAACGGTTAAACGATACGATCGCCTGCATTGCGACCGGATTCTGACTGGACAATTTGTAGCTGTGCCCAGCAGCGGTTTCCAATAACGTAGCGATGGTCAGTATACTGACCAGCACGCGCATGGAATCAAGTAAGGCCTCAACTATTCTGGCCATTTCCCGCATGCAGTAGGTAACCAGTGCGCTAGTAGAACTCCACTGTTGCAGTCGACCATTATTTACCAAACAGTAGTGAACAAGAAGATATGTATGGGAGGAAGAGTATGCGATGGTATATGTACGAAGCAAAATTACCAGCCGACCGACGTTGTCGGCTTGTTCGGTTTGTATAATAACGCCGCCGCCGGTAGTGAAAGTAATTGAATGGAAAATCGGCTGTATCTTGCTGGCTCCCAAGAGGTACTAATGCCTTGGTGTTTCATGCAAACATGTATTGCGCTGAGAATAACAAATCTTCATAACTGATTTTAAGCGTAAACTATTTGCGAGCAAATTTCGACATAACGCCTACAAGTGTGGATGTTTCAACCGCAATAACGCACAAGATCAATTGTCTATTGAGTTTTTCACAAAGTATTACTAGTGGTTCTTGTGCAAAGCCCCATCTGCAACAGTCGAAGTAGCCACTTCTTCTATAAGACGAAGATATTCCTCGTCCAGCTCGAAGTCTTCGTCGTCTTGATTATCACTCTTACTGCATCGTCCGACAGCAGACTGCAGCTGTTCCCTCTGCATTCGGCGCTTGAACTCGAGCTGACGCTGGTTGTAGTTTGCCTTGCCACGGTGATACTGGCAGAATTTGTGCAGTTGGCCGTTGGCCTTGGTGACGCGAAGGTTATCGCAGCGCTTGCTTGGGTAGAGGCAGCATGCGCCTTCTTCGTCGTTTGACAGCCCTTTCAAGCTAGAGTTATTGCCATCCTGCGGCATGGTTTGCTGAGATCGAGAGGCTCCAAGTGATCGATAGAGATCGAATTCACAAATGAGACCGTCGGAAGCGCAGTGTAAATGCTCGCGTTAAGCCCGTAAAGGAAAGGTCCCGCACGAGCTGCTGCTATAGGCACAGTCAGAGCTGATTCGGCACCATAGACCTGCGTGCAGGAGAAAACCTCTCTGCTGTCGTCGTTGCATACAACTGATGACTAGCAACTTTCAGTCGTGGAAAGAGTTTCGTTCCGTGTCGTATGTGTTTGCTCCGCCGATCTTGCGCCAGCTTCAAGAGCGGAGAAGTGCTGCACTTAACGGGTTGCAGATTGGAAGTCGACGAAAGTATCGTAGACGTGTTTTGTCGCTAACTACTAGAACATGAAGAGTAAATGCAGTCTCTCAGGGGTCGAAGACGCTAACATGCATGGGAGCTCTACGTTGATTGTGAGTTTTGCGAGGCATGGTTCTCAGGTTTGATTTTGAATCGTAGCGGTCAAGTAACGCAACATGAAGAAGGTGAGGGGTTTTCAGTATAACCGACACGTTAGCTTGTCCAGCATTACGCCACAAGTTCAACTGGCCAAACTGTAGCTGAGACCAGTTGAGCTCACCGTGTCGACTAGTGATTTAACGTTACGACGGCAGCAGTGCTGAACAGTCTGACTTGTTTCCGACTCGTCTCAGTGCCTGTGGTCGAAAGCCGATCGTCTGCAACATTACCGCCAACTCGCGAATTAAAAACAATCAAGTAAACCGCCTACAGCTCGATGTGTCGACGAAGACGCACAGCGCGTCATCAACAGCATGTCCTTAGCGCAGTTCGTTGGTTCTGTATGGTGGCGTCATATATGACAATAGCTTAGCTTAGAGAAACACCAAATATTTATTTTCTCACTGTTTAGACCAACTTTAAAGTTTCACAGACAACAAGAACTTGGCACGGGAGGTGCTCAGACGCACAAAACGACACATCCCAAGCCTGACAGCCAACCCGGATCGCCACGTCAGCAAAAGATTAATCCTTTCCCAAAGAGCTGTCAAGGTTTGCCGAGGCGACGTCTTCAATTAAACGCAGATGTTCTTTGTCGAGCTCAAAGTCGGACCCACATTCCGATGCACCACCGTTAGTAGCTGGCTTTGGTAAAATTGGTCGTCCTCCACCTTGAATTGGGATGTTTGCGTGCTCATTGGTCGACTGGTTTTGGCTTTGGAGTCCCTTGCGCTTGAATTCGAGCTGCCGTTGGTTGTAGTTCGCCTTGTCACGGTGGAACTGGCAGAAGTTGTGGAGTTGTCCATTGGCCTTCATCACCCGACGGTTGTCACAGCGCTTGCTGGGGTACAAACACATCAGGCCTTCCTTGTCTTCGCGCACGTTCGAGCTAGTACCATCATGTTGCATCGTCCGTAAAGTAGATACCGCGTTGATCTGCTTTGACGAGATCAAAATCCAAAATGGCATTGCTCGGTGGGAAGCGAGGCAAAGGTAGCCATGTGAAGCACCAAGACTATAGTTCCTTACAATCTAATCGTACACGAAGCTATACGGTATTGTTATTGTGGCTCAACTGGTCTCGATGGGGTGACTTGGCACAACATTAAGTGATATACTGCTCGTCTTGGGCTAAAACATTCATGTGGAGGGAATCTTTCTGAGATTGTATACCATATAGAAGTTTACCGTCCCGTCCGCCATTTGTAAAGGATACGAAGGGGTTATGAAAATCAGGTTTAGCTGCAGATGACCAAGCAAGTGGGCCAATAATCGTCTTTGGTGAAGGCTGAAAGTACAAGCTCCGTTACATCTCAGCTTCGCGCCTCAAGTATTCAGTCAAGTTAACTCGTTCAAAGTCCGCCAAAGCGACTAACTGAGTTTCTAGTGGCCTCATCGTCGAAAAGCGCTGGCGTTTGAATGGGTCGTCCCAGCAACTGGGATGGCAAAGTGCGAAGATGCAGACTAAATCAAAGCCTCCGATATCTCTTCGATAGCTATGGAGTGGCACGATGAAGCTATGCTGTCAGCAAAGCTAGCTCACGTTAGATCGATGTCTTCTTTTCTCATTTCCTACATCTAAAGCCACTTCGTTCTGTGGTCGAATTTGTGCTAACACAAATATTAGGAAAAAACATAAATGTATTCGTGTAGCTCTTTTTGCTGAGGTAGTTGATGCTGAGCAATACTTCGTCTGCTGTCGTGGAGTATCCCATTAATTATGATATTTATTTGGTTTCTTGGCTGTACCACATCTACGACAAGTATTTATCAGGTACTGTAGTTGGTAAGCAGCTCAAACTTCTCACTGGTTGCCAAGCAAGGCATCGGCACCAGTAGCGGATGCCACTTCCTCAATGAGGCGAATATGTTCCTCGTCAAGCTCGAATTCGGACTCACTTCCGTCATTATTTGTGAGCGGCATCTGGGGTCTGGGCAACAACGGAGGCCCCGCAGTGCGGACCGAAGCCGTCTGTGCACCCGCAGATTGGGCTTGCTCTTGTCGTAGCATCCTCTTGAACTCGAGTTGGCGTTGGTTATAGTTGGCTTTGTCGCGGTGGAACTGGCAGAATTTGTGGAGTTCGCCGTTGGCCTTGGTAACCCGAGGATTATCGCAGCGCTTGCTGGGGTACAGGCACAGCGGGCTGTCTCTGTCGCGAGGAGCTGCTTTTGCACGAGCACTGTGGTCGTCCTGCTGCATTATGTCCTCTAAGTGTACGAGCTGGAGGCGCTTAGATGATCTCCAAATTGAAAGTGAGACTCCCCCAACGGGGCCGATTGCGACTCCGTGCAAGAAGATTCACCTTCAGTATTGTTGTAGTTTCGCCGGTGCGTGTCGCTGTGGGCAACAGGAACAAACGGCGACAGGCCTATTGCAACTCGGCAACTTGTGTCTCCGCAGCGCTGCGTCTCCTATAAACGGAGATATCTGGCGCTTGGTTCCCACGCAGAAAAGCGTCGAGCCTCGCGTCATTTTAAAGGCAGAAATCCGCAGCACTGTCTTCCCTGTAGCTGGGCGACACGGGTGCGCTTATTGATGTACGAAGGCATGCCAAAAGTTAAACGCTGGCTAGACTTGGAAGAGGGCTGATATAAGTGCATGCACTATTAGTACCTCAGCATGGGCCAAGACAAACAGACCATCGGGACCCCGAGTCCTCCAACGAGCACTCTTGTAGACCGCACCGCTTTTCAGTTGACCTTAATCGCCGTGTTGCTTCGATTTACCCCCTTACTTGATTTCCATGAGATAAATGAGCGGGTGTTGCTAGTTGTAGTCATCACGTTCGTGGTTGACCATAACGCTGCTTTTCCATAAACTCTTCGAGTACTGGACAATTTGAAGCAAGGCACAGTAGTGCTCGGTACTTCACCAGATCGAAGGTAGCGATGGCAAGTGGTCGTCCAAACAACACAACACGGAGACCTTCAAGCAGCATTGCCGCCAGCTCCCGGATAAAAAACAATCAAGTGCGCTGGCCATTGTCAAGTGCCGGCGCCAGCAGCATTCGCCTTTGCTGGACACGAATTGCCGTTCGTAACGGGCCTAGGCCGTTTTACACCAGGTCTGAGACTTGAAAGCTTTCCGACGACGGGGCCAGAAGCCAGAAGCCGTGGCAAACGGGAGACGCGCTCTCTTGATGACGATGAAGCGCGGGTCTGTAAACACTGGAGCTTGCCACGCCAGACTCAGCGTTTCAGTCGAGTTGGTTTAGCGCGTTGCAATCCGATATCAACCGAACAACACTTGATTCGATACCAGCGTGCACTTTGGAGCCCGTCGCGGCTTGCCAAGCGTTGGCACCAATTCACATGTCAACTTGTGCAGCCATGTTGAAACTGTAGCCATCTGTGGCGCGGCATCACTCGAGCAAGATTGGAAGCCACTTGTTCCGCTGCTGTGTCGATTCATGCACGACGAACTGCCGCCGGCCGGAGGTCCACGCAGTGACTGCGCACGCGATCTGGGCTGCCGAGGGACTCGCGCCGCCACCAGTTCGCACCCCGTCGCTCGTCTGGACCACATCCCGTGCAAACAACCAAAAACCTCCCTATCCTTCTACTACCTCCTATAATGTATATCTAATTCACACAGTGTACCAAATATACAGTGATATTATTCCACAGCATCATGCAGACAATAGTCTACCTCCAACCCTCGAATATCCGCTCTCGCAGTCGCCGCCACTTAACACCAGGCCCGAGCTATGTATATCCTCCCTCTTCAGCTTCCGCTCAACGGACGAGAGACCGCGTCATTCCCCCCTGCAACACCGGCACGGGCCCGCGGGCACAGCCGCTGCGCAGCCAGCTCCCCGCCCTAGGCGCCTTCACTTCCAGTCAGCTCGTCAGTCTTCGATCGGCCGTCTTCCAGCCAAGACCATCACTCCCCCCCCCCCGCGATGCCCCCGCCGCCCGACATCAAGTGGACGCCGCTGCGCTTCCTCGCGTACGGCGTGGGCCACGTGCTCAACGACATGTGCGCGTCCACGTGGTTCTCCTACCTGCTCGTCTTCCTGCTGCACGCCGTGGACATGTCGCCCGTGGACTCGGCCGTCGTCATGTTCTGCGGCCAGATCGCGGACGGCATCGCCACGCCGCTCGTGGGCGTCTTCTCGGACCGCTCCTCGGGGCTGCCGGCGCTCGGCCTGGGGCGCCGCAAGACGTGGCTGGCCGTCGGCTCGCTGCTCGTGGTGCTGTGCTTCTTCTTCGTGTTCGGCGCCTGCGCGCCGCGCTGGCTCTGGGCCGAGCCCAGCCGCATGGTGCTGCTCGTGTACTACAGCGCGGCCGCCAGCGTCTTCAACGTGGGCTGGGCCACGGTGCAGGTGAGCCACATGGCCATGGTGCCCGAGCTCTCGGACGACGACAACGTGCGCTGCGTGCTCAACAGCACGCGCTACGCCTTCACGATCCTGTCCAACGTGCTGGTCTTCTGCGTGTTCCTCGTGCTGCTGCGCGTGGTGGAGCCCTTCGGCGTGCCGGACGCCGAGAAGTTCACGCTGCTGGCCTACACCTCGCTCGTGGTGGGCGGCGTGTGCACCGTGGTGTTCCTGTCGGGCACGCCCGAGAACGTGGAGAAGGAGAACGAGGTAGAGCACGAGACCCCCGCCGAAGTGCTGGCGCAGAGCCCCGTGATGGCGGATCTCGAGGGGAGGGGCCCCTCCGCCTTCCCCTGCGAGGGCGACCTGGACGTCCCGGCAGTGGAGGTCGTGGGCACGTCGTCGGACAAGATGACGTGGAGCTGCTGGTTCAAGCTCGGCATGTTCTACGAGGTGGGGCTCGTCTACATGTGCACGCGGCTCGTGGTGAACGTAACGCAGGTCTTCATCTCGTTCTACCTCATCGTGACGCTTGACATGTCGGCCACGTCCATCGCCATCGTGCCGCTGCTCGTGTATCTCTCGGGCTTCCTGGCCACCTTCTTCCTGCGGTACCTGAATGAGGCGCTGGGTCGTACCGGATCGTTCGCGCTGGGAGCGGCGCTGATCGTGGTGGCGCTGGTGCTTTCCTACTTCCTCACGCCTGAGACGGCGACGTGGGTGTACCCGTTCTCCATTATCTTGGGTATGGGCAACTCCATCATCATGGTGACTTCGGTATGCTTGACGGGCGACCTGGTCGGCAACAACGTCGAGAGCGGCGCGTTCGTCTACGGCGCCATGAGCTTCACGGACAAGATCTCGAACGGCATCGCCATCCTTTTCATTCAGAACACGCGCCAGGCGCTGCAGGACCTGCCCGAGCAGGACGGCGAGTTCCTCCGACAAGTGTACTGTGTTCTGCCGTCCCTGGCGGCGCTCGTCGGTCTGTGCACGGTCATGTTCATGACGCACTGCAGCGGCTCCAGTGACAGGAGGCGACGCAAAGTCGAGAGTGCGTCCAGCAGCACCGCGGACGAAACCGAGATCCTCCTTGCGAACGACGAGCCCAAGTCCACCGGATACGGATCGGTTTAACCCCCACTGGAGGAAAATACCAGGCTCGCATCCATAAAGGTCGACGAGTTCCGCTACCAGCGCAGCTTCTCGCCTCGCGAGTCCTGTGGGCTGTTGCTAACTAATAGCAGCCGTGTAATGACACTTATCAATTTCATTTAACGCATTCGCTCACCCTAATGCAAGATCCTCCTTACAGCTCGGTTGTGGTTAGTACAGAGTACTAGTAGTACATGTATATTGCGAGAGAATTAAGTGGTTGTCGTGTTGGTTCGGGTAATGCCGAGCACACTGGGCGCAGGTGCAGTTAGAATGAACCGGTCGTCAGCCGCATTGCCGCAGTTTCTTTAGCGATCACTGGACGCGACCTTAGTGAAGAAGCCATCCAAAGTGCATCGATCTACGGCTCTGCTGCGCTAGGATATGTTTCAGTCATACTACAGTAGAACAAACCTGCCTCCCCAGCCACGAGCTCGCGCCACCTTTTTTCAAGTTTCCGGTAGTTTCGAGCAAACACGAGCGCACTCACATAAAAGAAATCAGTTGTGAGCATTTCGAAAGCGCAGATGACACAGGCCCATGCCAGCCATACAAGAGAACGTGGCAAGATTGATGACGTTCAGCGTGTACTATCGATCAGTTGTCTTGGCTGGTATCTCTAGATCATTCTCATGGCGTCGACTTCAGTATTGAAGTGCCTCAGGTGCAGCAGTACAACTTGGATGTTACCGTGGAGTAGTAAACGACCACAACAAAATAGCCCGAATATTTTGCCTTTGATACCCCGTTGAATCGTTGTCCTTTACACGAGCTTTCAGGAAATTTGTGTCGTACCCTTCGCATCACTTAACAATAAATTGCTCGTAGGCAGCGGTGTATCGAATGGAGTCGAAAGTGACTGTAGCTTCGGAGACCACGGTCGGAACCTGAGCACTCGGCATTTGTTTTATCACGTTCCAGCAACCGTGGAGCAAATTCCTCTTCATGGGTTCGTCCATGGCAACCGAGTTGTTTGTTATGTCATGGTCAGAGCCCTTATGCTTATCCGTGTGCTTTTAGCGCATGATTGAAAGAAAAAGTCGGAGAGAAGAGCTACTTGACCCCCACGTGGCTGTCGAAAGGATGGGGATTTTTGTTGTTCTAAGCATCTTCAAATTAACGTACAAATCGCACTAGAGTACTGTACCTCACAGAAAGAATGGTTAATAGATAGAATATCACAACAAGATTTTCAACATTTGGCTTCGTTTCGTAGCTATTTCTTAACACAGAAAGCATATTCAATTCGCTGGTTAACATAAAGTTTGAAGCGTTTGGGCTTCGCCTACCGAATATTAGAGCAGCAAGCATCGGTGCAGAAGATAGAGCAAATTCTTGGCCGCCTCGGCACAGAACCCCCAGCCTAATAACTAGCTTTTCCAAGAGCACATGAGTCGAGGTTTACAATTGCCTCATCTTGAACGAGACAGCAGAAAGCCTTGAGTAGCTCATGGTCTAGCTGTCGAAATTGCCGAGCTAAATCTGAACATGAAGAATGCATATTTATTTATCTTTCACGAGAGTGCCAACCGCGCTACACCCATTGCAACAATTCTGTGAGGTATGGTACAAATTCATATACATACAGCGGCGTGCCCCCCCCATGATCATTATTACTCGGCCGATCATGAGCATTATCAAACCCAGCATCCCGATGTATGTCATGCGAGTCGCATCTATCACAGATCTGTAAACCTGCAAGGAGCTGTCAATCGTCCATTGCCACTGTACAAGTGTACGTGTACTGCAGCGTATTACAGTAGTAACCAGATTCTGGCTTATTATTACTTTGCTGAGAATGGCCAGTGTTGCAAATATGGTCGCGCCTTCTCCAGATAAGGCCAACGTTAGTAGACGCGAGTATTCACGGTGACTTTGAGCGAGGAAGCGTGGAGTTGGAGACCAGTGGACTCCGTATAGACACTGGTCGACAACGTAGGACTTGAGGGAGACTTGTGAGGCTCGGGAAAAATAACGAAGTGTGTGTATTAGTGTTTCGCGAGCTTGTTGGCGACTTTTGCCTCAAAGATCGCCTCGAAGACGGACGGCGCTATCCGGAAAGACTCGTCCTGTATCCGGAAGAGACTGCTGACTTCGCAACACGACCTCCTTCAAGAAGGGACTCCCTCCGCTCGTGTGGTGCTCCATCTGCGGATGATCCGCATGTAATGCTGCTTGTTTTGCTTTTGCAGCCGCTTAGAGACCCGAGTAGGCAATCCGTTCGCCTTTCGATGATACTCTCGAATTAATCCAGGCACTGACAGCAAATTTGATGTAGGCTCCCAGGTTATGTCGTCAGCTCTGCCCACCCATTTGCACTTGTACTGCTCGGTGCCGTCGCGGGTTACACGATGATCGATAATTTTCTCGATGAGATGACCTTCCGAGCCATCTTTGAGACGCACTGGCGGTATGGTTGAATCGCGAACACACCCAGAAGTATCCTTCACAAACTTTTTCAGCACCATCGTATGAAACACCGGATGAATCTGCAGCTCATGGGGCAAATCCAACTCGTAGCTGGCTCCGTCATGAAAAATCTTAATCACTTCATAGGGGCCGATCCATTTTGACGCAAACTTTCTCTGCACAGCTCCAACTGTCTTAGTGTTGAAATCTTTCGTTGAGACCAGGACCATATCTCCGATATCAAACTTTTGGTCACGTCTCCCCTTATCATAATGAAGCTTCATCTTTTCTGCACTTGATCAAAGTTGAGCCTGCAACGAACGCAAAATACTCTCCAAGTGAGCCACGAACTTGGTTGCAGGCTCTTTTCGGGCCGCAGGGAGCGCTAAATCGGTAGGAATCCTGGGTGCATACCCCAAATCGGCGACAAACGGACTCATCTCAATGCTAGATTGATACCGATTGTTGTATGCGAATTCTGCCAGTGCTAAGTAGCGATCCCAGTCGTCTTGAAAACCACTCACGTAGTGTCGTAGGTAGCCGGACAGGATGCCATTGATTCGCTCGACTTGCCCATCAGTTCTCTGGTGGTGTGCCGTAGCCAACTTTAGTTTCGTTCCGAGGATGGATGCACACGACGACCAGAATTTCGAGGTGAATTTGGGGTCCCTATCTGAGACGATATCTGTCGGTACCCCATGATGTCGAACATATTCTTTCACAAAAAGCTCTGCGAGGTCTTCAGCCGAAATAGTTGCCACAGTTTCAATAAAGTGTGCACGTTTCGTCAATCTATCCGCGATGACTAGGATCGTGTCGTAGCCACTAGTAGTTTCGGGCAGGCCTGTCACGAAGTCCATTCCTATTGACGTCCACCGACCCGTAGGGATTTCCAAAGGATGCAACAAGCCGGGTGCCTTCCCTGTGCGATGCTTGTTTCTCTGACAGGACTCACAGGTTGAAATATACTGGCGAATTTTACGGTGCATTCGCCTCCAGTAAAAGCGATTCTGGACCGCCGCAAGTGTTTTTTCCACTCCAGGATGACCCGCATTCGCAATATCGTGCAGCTCCCACAAAATAGTATTTTGGAGCTCCTCTGCATCCTGCGGAATGAAAATACGGGATTCATCTCCACAAACCCATCGAACAAGATTTTCTTCTTCGACGAACACAACTTTACCAGGACCCCTCGGTTTTTCAGGTAGTTTGGTCCTGCTGTACCCCGCTTTTACTTGAGCTGTTCGGATCATTGCCAATAGCGACTTTGGCTGCAGTCGCCTTGCCGCATATACCTGTCTCTGCTTCTGCTGCAAGAAATCGATCTCAAAGTCAGGACGTCGACTCAAGGCGTCTGCTACGGTATTGGTGGTCCCAGGAATGTATCGGAAACGCAAATTAAATTCAGCGAGTAGATCATACCATCGACACAGACGGCGATTGATGCTCTTCTGCGTAAGAACGAATGATGGTCGGTCTCCACTAGGCACCCTCCATCGAGTAGATAGACTCTCCAAATCTGCAGGCAATGCACAATCGCCAGCATCTCTTGCTCATGTGTGGGGTAATTCAGTTCTGCTTCCTTCATCTTTCTACCACAAAATGCGATGGGCCTCTCCGCACCTTCACTTGTGTGCTGGAATAGCACCCCACCCACCGCAAATCGAGATGCATCGGTCCTGATGCAGAATGGCTTAGAAAATTCGGGTAGGGCGAGAACTGAAGTGTTGCTTAGAGCCGTTTTAAGCGACGCAAACGCTGTTGCGTGTGCTGGGGTCCAGTCCAGCAATGGCTTCTTTCGCGACTTCACCAATTCAAACACTGGGGCGCTGATTTCCGAGTACGCCTTGCAAAATCTCTGCACATACACCGTAGTCCCGAGAAACGACTGCAAGTCGCGCACATTTTTTGGTTCCGGCCACTCTTGGATGATCCGAACTTTATCAGGATCGATGCGCACGCCTTGGCGACCAACAAACAGGGAATTTCCGCAGCCCACAATGTTGATTTTGAGAGCTTCAAATACAACTTCTTCTCGCGACAGCGTTCAAACACCTTTCTTACAGCTGCCAGATGCGACTCCACGTCCTGCTGCTTAGTGAAAACGTAGATATCCGGCGTCTGAAAGGCAGTGTACGGAATATCCTTTTCTCTCATGCGTAGCTGGTAGTACCCCGAGAGAAGATCGAAACAGCTCACCCAAAACGCTCCACTCATTTTGTCAAAGATTGCATCCTTACGTGGCATTGGCGGATTGTACGCTCATTCATCGCACGGTAGTCATGCACCACTCTCCAGCCCACAGCTTTCTTAATACAAAAGGTGGGTGATGCGTGTGGTGACTTGCTCGGACGAATAAGCCCTGCTTTTATCATGGCTTTTATCCATTCGCGAAGAGCTGCTTCCTGGCTCGGGCATAGTCTCCACTGCTGCCAATATACTGCCCCAGTACCCTCCTTGACCTCCATCTCGTGCTCGCCATGCACAGGAGGCCGCCCACCGAGACGAACCATACCGGCGGAAACCCTCGGATAAGCCTCCATGTCTCCCTCCTGTCGGCTGCCGCCCGTAGCGCCCGTAGGGCCGATGGGCAACTCATCACGGAATCTCATTGAAAACTCCTTTAGCAGAGGGTACCCTGGGTTATCTTTGAAACTTTCGAGATCTGTCACTAGTTGACGGTGCTGCTTCTCGGTTGCTACAGATGCCGATGCCACTGACCGCGAATATCCTTGCTCCACTAAAACTTCCACATAAAGTGCATTTACAGTCTCGGGGTATTAACGGCACAAACTCCACGTCGGACTTGCGAACTAACTTTCGGGCGGCTTTTAGCGAAACGTGCTTGGTAAATCCCCACCTAGCACAATAATGCGCACTCTTCTCGGACGGTAGCTCTGGTGGAGTCGCAGCTTCGTGCGATACGCGATCTCCGTCCTCCTCAGAACAAAAAGCTCGCGTCGTTGGCTTTTTCCACCGCTCCAGTTCCGCGCGAGACTTCGTAAGAAAGCGCTGCCTCAACTTCTTCACGACACAACGCCAACGCCACTCTCCAGTGTACTCCCGCACGAGACATGCCTTGGCTTTGTCTTTTGTGTGATTCATCATCAGTTGCCCCACCCGGACATCGACTTGTGGCTGCCGTAAAACCAACCCAAAGCCTCCGTACCACAAAATCATATGGCGGACGTAGACATCGATATCTTCGTTGTCTTCGCCTGCGAAAATGGGGGTCTCTTTCTGCCTTAAGCTCTTAGCGATTCGAGACTCCAGTTCTTCACTTGAGTACTCAGGCGTGCCTGGCGGCATATTGCCGAACACGTCCCACTCAGGATAAAGTTCAGCATCGTTAGCAGATTCAGATCCAGCTCCAGCCAGCGAGCTTGGCAACGTCGCAACTTTAGCTCGCAGCTCTGCGATCTCGGCACGTTGACTTCTCACCTCCGAATGCAATTGGTCCATTTCTAGCGCTGCTCTGGTTGGCAAATTGCTGCATCTGCTCAATCACTTGATTCAGTAGCTGTTGTGTGCGCGCTGCCTGCGCGTTACTCTCATAGTGCCGAGCCTCCACTCGATTCGCAAATGCTGCGACGGACTCGGTCAGCAGGGTTTGGTCCCTCTGGAGAGTGTTTAGCACGTTCTCCCACCGAGGTAAATTTCCCAGAAGGTTGCGAACTGCGCCAACCTCGTTGCTGGTAAGTCGAGACGACTGCGCACCGTCATGATCCGTATTAAAGTCGTCGCTATTGACTCCCTGTCTGCTGTCCATTGTTGCCTCAACACGAAAGCTCTACAGTGTTGCAAATATGGTCGCGCCTTCTCCAGATAAGGCCAACGTTAGTAGACGCGAGTATTCACGGTGACTTTGAGCGAGGAAGCGTGGAGTTGGAGACCAGTGGACTCCGTATAGACACTGGTCGACAACGTAGGACTTGAGGGAGACTTGTGAGGCTCGGGAAAAATAACGAAGTGTGTGTATTAGTGTTTCGCGAGCTTGTTGGCGACTTTTGCCTCATAGATCGCCTCTATCCGGAAAGACTCGTCCTGTATCCGGAAGAGACTGCTGACTTCGCAACAGCCAGTAGTCAAGCCAATCTTCTCGACGAGCTTGTTTGCATTTGTAATCCTCACAACAGACATGCAACTATTGTAGCATCGCAAACAGCTCGTATCGCGCTGGAGGACACCACCGAGTCGTACCCGAGGCCCGAAACACTTCCCAATTCCCCTCCAGTTGCAAACACCGACCTGCACCAAATCACGAAATGACGCGAAACGCTGTTCTGCTGTTTCTTCTCGTCGTTTGCGTCGGCCTCCACGTCGGCCTTGTACGTGCTGAGAACGCCGTCGAAGCCACCGTCTTAATTGGCAACGGCGGCAACGCTAACCGTAACCTCCAAGACAGCGGACTGACCGCAGAAAGAGACACGGCAGCTGACAACTACGACACAGCGGGGATGAAGAGGGCCTCTTTCTCTGCTGGGCTGAGCAAGATCAAGAGTTTCCTTCGGCTGGGTAGCTCCAAGGTTTCCACCCTACAGAAGGATGCTACCGTTCTCAAGCAGGTCGCGTCGCTGAAGAAGGTCCCCAAAGTCATCAGCTCAAGGAGCTGGAAAGCAGCCCCCAAGCTTAATCTTGCTCAGCCCTGCAGAGAAAGAGGCCCTCTCTTCATCCTCCACACCGTTGTCGCTGTCCACAGTTTTGTCGTCCAAATCTGTGCTGCCTTGGAGGTTTCGGTGCATGTTGCCGCGGTTAGGAGTTGAGATAGTGCCCTGCACAGCACTTTCGGCACGGGCGAGGTCCGCGTGGAGGCCGGCGCAAAAGACGAGAAGAAGCACCAGAACGAAGTTGCGACGCATTTCGTGAAATGTGGTTCGCACAGCAGTTGGTTTCGGTGCTTGGAGGTACCTGAGTTTCGGGTAGGACGTTTTGAAACCTGCAACGCGAAAGAACTGTTTTCAATGCTACAACACTTCTGTATCGCACAGTAGTTGCGTGGATGCGGTAAGGATCACAAATGCAAACAGGTTACACTCGAGAAGATTGGCGTGATTGCTGGCCAGGCATGACCAAGTAATCTGCCGGCGTGTTTACAGTATTGCAATGCATGACCAAGTAACGCATGCCAGAACGTACAGTACCGGACATATTAACACTGTACATGTACTGCACTTGTATTTACTGAAATGTACATATATTAACACATTGCGGCAATGAACCGTTGACAATGGCAGCTCATTGCAGGCTGCAGCCTGTACCCTAGATCTATAGCCTGTACATGTATTAGTATTAATACAGGCTACAGATCTAGGATAGACGGAAGGCTGGGTTTGATTATGCCCATGCCGATAATAAACGCAGGTAAGCTATATGATAGGTCGATGGGTTTTTGTATCGAGTAAATCGACGTATTATCAAATTAGGCGGGTATACTAATTCTACGAACCGTCTTGCTCAGAGAAAAACATGTGACCAGCGTAGTCTGCTTCACGAAGCGCAGCCACGGCTTGGTTGTAGACTTCAACGTCGCACGACAACGACTGTGGTAGTACGCCTGCCCTTCGCAGCTTCTCCTTTCCCATGTGAGGGAACTTGTACTCGTTGCCACATTTGCAGGCAAGCACGCAGTGCATGCAATTCTGCAAAGACAGGAAAATGTTCTCGATCTTCTCTAACGACATGTTGTCGTACACCCGCTTCACTTCGCGCGTTATCTCCTCGGTCTTCATTTGAGCGGTACGGTTCTGTAGCGACTGCAACGAGGCAAAATCTCCCAAATCAAGTACATTCATGTCAGATGAGTTAGGAGGCTGGCATGTTAGTCTGAAGTTCCATCCCCCCTCCAAACCTGCTGCCAGAATGTCGGGGTCAAACGGTGACAGGTGCGGCTTGGCGTTATCTTGCTGAATCCAGATAATCTTCCGTCGGTCTCGCCGCGGCCATTTCTCCTTGATAACTGGAATAAGAAGGCGCAGCATGAAATCCTTGTACACTGCACGGTCAACCTTAGGCAGATTGCGTTCGTATGGAGTTCCCTTCAGACGGGTTTTGCTGCGCCGCTCTGCGTGACACTCCTCCGTGAACGACCAGACACCTAGTTTCCCGTCTCATTTCGCGTGTCGTAGGGGATCAAACCTGAAGCAAGCAGTTACTGGTGTTAGGGAATGAAAAATATTTAAATATAGAGGTTAACGTACCGAGGGCATGCAATTGCAGCATGGAACATCGTCTTGCTTGCTGGGGCGCGCTCGCAGCGGTAACGACTCGTCCTTGGACGCGATAAACGACCGCTGGTCCTTGTCGGAGTAGAACCACTTCTCATCCACGTGGATGACGTCTAACCCCAACAGGCCCCAGATTAAGGACAAATAAAAGGACCAAACGTTAGAGGCTTATACCGGCATTGATTTTGCGAGATGAACCGTATTTTTGCTATGACCAGAAAGCCCTTGATTCGTTCTACAAGGGGGGTGCCTTGTACACTGTCCTCTGTTGTACATCATGATAAAAATGCAGATTGGAAAGTGTCATATATAACATATCACGTTTCGGTTTTTGTCCTTGATTCTAGCACATTGACTTGATTTCATTATGTGGATCCAGACGTTACACCTCTCACACAGTCTATGTCTTTGTTACAAGGCAGTCCTAAGATCGTCGTCTACACGCGATATTCTGTGTTGAAGTGGTTGCTGACCTCGCAGTCGGCAGACGGTCGAACGGTGAAGTGGGGTCTGAAGTTGTCCCACTGGAACCTGGAGATACGCAGAGTTCAACGGGATGAAGACGGCTTGGCTGCAATTCTGGGTGCGGGTATTACCCCCAGAGAACACTTGGATGAGATCGCTGAAAACCTGATCCCAGCTAAGGGGCGCGTTAAACCTCCAGTGCCTATCAGTATGGAAATGCTGGAAGCGGACTACGAGGGGTGTATCCTGAGCTTCGATGGCGCCGCTAAGACTTCCACGCGACAAGGGAGCTGCGGCTGCATCCTATGGCATGTCCCCGGGTGGGAAATCCTGGATGCCCAGGGATTCACCCTGGAGGACGTGACTGTGAATGACGCTGAGTATCATGGACTTCTGAAGGGCCTCACTCTGGCGATTGAGCGTGGAATTCAGGATATCGTTGTAGTTGGAGACTCCAGGATTGCCATCCAGCAAGCCCAGGGTCTCATCAACTGCAATCAGCCAAATCTCCAGAGGAAGCTGGCCGAGTATGAAGTGCTGAAGACGAAGTTCAAGTCTGTGCGGCTGGTGCATGTCAAGCGAGAGTTTAACCAGGCCGCAGACTACCTGACGTCTAAGACCCTCGCGCTTGGTGAATCCTGGAAGGTGGAGGATGCTGACGAACGAACACATTTGCAGTTGGTGTCCAAGATTCACGAGAAGTTGGTAAGACCGAAGGTGTTATTGAACGTTGGAATTCAGGGGAGTGATTCTCAGGGTGTCGAAACTCTGGGTATCCCTGGACCTGAGTGCGCTCCGTTGCCTGTGGCGGCCAAAGTGTTTGCAGTAATGACTTGGGCGCGGACTCAGGAGATTGAAGCCCAAAGCGCCAGGACAAAGATGATCACCTGCTGCAACTCAAGGATTTCCTGAAAGGAGACACGACGAAGCTGTCGCACGCTCAAGCCAGGAAACTCGCGAAGGTCGCTGATGATTTCGTGTTGGATTCCAGAGAAGTCCTGTACCGCTTGAGTCGGTCCACCAGAGATCGACCCCGAGACATGGTTGACGAACTCAGACTCGTGGTGCTGAAAGCTCTGCGACAGGATATCCTGCATTACGCTCACGAAGATTTTCAGGGTGGGCACCAGGGGATCACGAGGACGTACGAGAAGCTGCGTTCTGGGTTCTACTGGTACGGCATGTACGCTGATGTGGAAGTTTTCGTCAAAGAGTGTGTGGATTGCGCCAGCGGCAAGGGGCGCCCTCAGAATCCAGGGCCTTCCCCTGGGAACATCGAACCGAGGCGCCCTTTTGAAGTTGTGTCTATGGATTTCGCGACACACTTGTCTAAGTCGGACCGTGGGAACACGTTCCTGCTGCTTTTTCAGGATGCGTTCTCAGGATTTGTCATGTGTAAACCCATGAGTTCCACCACGGCGCAAGATGTGGCTGAAGTGTACGAAGAGCAGGTCTTCAGGAGATTCGGCGCAAGCTCGATGCTGAGGCACGACCAAGACCCAAGGTTCATGAGTGAGGTGTTCACGCGCTTCCGTGAACTTTTGGGTAGCAAGCAGCGAGCCACTCTGGCGTATCACCCCCAGGCGAACGGACAACAGGAGCGGTCGGTGCAGACTGTCGTGCGCAGCATTCGAGCGTACATTGCTGAGGCGGATCAGAGTGACTGGGACGACCATGCTGAGCGCCTGATGTTTGCCCTGAATACATCGTTCGATGCCACTCGCCTGGACACTCCGTTTTTACTGGTGCACGGCTGGGACACACACGGCACGGTGTCTGCAATGTTAGGACCCAGGCCCTCGAGTATCTAGGAGCGCACTGCGTACGAGTGGCGCAGGAAGCTACAGCGTGACTATAGTTATGCACAAGCTTGCGCTGAGGATCTTCAGAAGAAGGCCAAGCGCGCGCGCTCTGCCGAACAAACCAGTAAGTGGAGAGAGCTGTCCGAACGACTGAAGGCAGGATTCGCAGCCGGTGATGCTGTGTGGCTGTATATACCCAAAGTGCAGCCCGGGCTGAGCCGCAAACTGGCTCACATGTGGCATGGCCCCTTCAGAATTCAGGAAATCCATGACAACTTCCGCGTGAAACTCAGGGTCGAGAACACAGGATATCGCAAGAATCCCTGGGTAAACGTGAGCCGTTTGAAACCCAGAGCACTATTCCCGAAGCGGCCCACTGTGGAGATCGACGTGGACGAGGATGATGACTTTGATGCGGCGCTGTTGCCTGAAGACAGTTGGGAGCCCGACGCTGCGAACGATGAGTACGAAGTTGAGCGAATCCTGGATTTGCGATGGACTAAACGGACTCGGACAGCGAGACGAATTCGTGAGTACCTTGTGAAGTGGAAGGGGTATGATGAGACCGAGTGGTTGACTGTGTCGAAGCTCAACTGTGGTGCCCTGCTCTACGAATTCAATCAAGGCGCAAGAGCGCGGGCCCGTTTCCAGGCCATGCAGGCTGGAGATGATCACCCAGGAGTCTAGCACTCTGGGGTGACAATGACACAGAGTTACACGTGATATTCAGGGGAAACTCTGAGTGACACTGTGAAACTCTGGGGAAAATCGACGGAATGTGTGAATATTGGAGACGGAAAACGTGAATGTGATTTGACTTGATTTGATTATGGAGACGGTGATACTGCTGAGGCTTTGGCAGTGTGTGAGAAGGAAGATAAAGGCGAACGACGTGGACATAGGACATCGATCCCAGCGTCGGCGCCACAGACTTCCTTCAACCCCTGAAGATCCTCGTCGGAGGGCTCCTCGAAGCCGACCAACGTGGTCGCGCCGCCGTAGCCTTCCATGGCGAACGCGCCCGCGCGAATGTCGTTCACGATCCCTGGGACCCCACGAGATACGCGTTGGTCTTGAGATTCGGCGGAGCCGGCAGTTTCCAGTGCGGGGGGCGTTCAGGGACCAGGAAGTCAGGGGGATCGACCTCCTCCTGCCGAAGCATGCCTGCGAAGATGACTCCCCTGACGTCCTGTAGCGTCGCGTGTCGTGGTAACTTGAACTCAGGGGCGCCCTCCATGTCCACGTCCGGAGCCACGCCGCCTGCGTCTGGAG